ACCCTTAAATGCATAGTGTTGCAAATTTGCAACATATTTATTTTTCCACGTGTAAAATACTCATCCTTAGGAATAATTCATAATGCTTCATAGTTGCATATTTGCAACGATCTGCTTTAAGTATACATAGTTCAAAGTTATGCTGCAAAATGTCTTTTGTGTACAATGTTGCATTTCTGCAAGTACAAAAAATTTCGAAAATGAAGAGAATTTTTTTTCACTTGGATTTTTTAAAATACTTTTCTCATTTTCTGGGGCTACCTTTAAACCTAAACAAAAATAATCTAGTAATAAAAAAAAATTCATGCATTTAAGGGTCAATCACCCTTAATTACGTTAAAGTAGCAGATAGATCATTCACCAAAGCGCGTGTGTTAATGCCAATGTAAGCAACTCTTACAAAAATATAAGATAAGACACCAGATTATACCTAGGGAGCGGAGGTACTACTCAGGCCAATGGTTTCACTCACACATTTGTCATATTTACAATATTTTATTTGCAAATGCAGTAAGAATATACATATTAGAATCAGTCCTGTGCAAAATAAATAAACATTCGCGCTAGTGTCAATCACTATTGAATGAAATTTAAAAAAAGTAAGACTCACGGTTAGTTGCAGTACTTGCTGGTGGTTGTGGAATTATACCTTGATGATTGGGACCCGGGCTTCCCATATCCATTATCTGGTTATTTCCAGTCCCTTGACGTGCCAGTGTCTGAAGAGCACCAATCGGATCTAGCATGCCTTGATTGTTGGTACCAGTGGCACCTGGTGCATTACCAGCTGCCCCCTTCTTAGAATCTATGNGGTGCATTACCAGCTGCCCCCTTCTTAGAATCTATGAATGAAGATATTATCAGAAAAATATTTTATAGATATATATATATATATATAATTTTTGCATATTAAAGAACCAAATACTAAAATATAAAAAATTTGTTACTTAAAATATCTATTATTACTATAATTTTAAGGACATTACTCATTTCTCGGACATGAAGGATCAATCTGGCCACAAAGCCCAGGTACTCCTCCTGAAAATAGAAAGAAATGTATTGGTGATATCAAGAGACTTGCGATATAATCAGTTTTATGATCACAGACCTTTGTTTTTGCCTTTTGGAAAACATGGTTCTCCATATCGATGCTGTTCTTCATCCTAGGCATTCCAGACATCTGTATAGCTTCATCTCTGTTGGTGAAAATACTTATAAATTATATGCATCAAGGAAAGCATCAAGATTAGATCGAACGCGGTGCAAACGTTAGGAAGACCGAACTTTCGATTAATGAAACGTAAGAATATAACGACGCATCCCTCAATTCTGTAAAACTTTTTGCCATCTTCGTTTAAGATATTCATATGTAACATACAATAACATAATTGTTAAATTATTTATATGACATTATATATATATAATAAAAGGCTACGTACCGATATTCACTGCCAATATTGAAAATCTACAGTTTATGTTACGTATTCTATTTTTATCGCTCATTAGATGTAAAACAAGGATAGAATGATGCTTTAGTGCGGATAGCGCGCTCCCCGAACGTACGCTAAAGATTTTCCGTACTAATAGTGAATATCGGAACGCAGCCACAAATAATTCGTTCGACAGTGGATCGGCCTTAACAACCTTTGCAAAACCTGGTTTTTTAAATTTTACTACTTATTCCAAAATAAAGTAATCGGCAAATTTTTTACAGTTCTTTCATTGACATTCTCCTTTATATTTATCAATAATTGAGACTCACATTTTTGCGACTACACTCTGCCGAAAGTGGGTAGTTTTCCATGAATCATCCGCCGCCATTTGTGGTTGTTCAATAACTACTGCCGACGGATGCATGATATAATAAGACCAAAGTGTTACCGTAGCCTCTTCGCTTGTTGGATGCTGGAGTGTCGCGATCCGCTGTTTTCATTAAACGTAAGTTTAGCACGTTGTAGAAAGCGACGATCACTTATTGTTGTGTTGTTGTTGCTTGCTCTGATCTCAAGACAAGTGATTGCTTAATACGTGATGAAAGTTTATAAACGATCAAAATCGAGGAAAAACGTCCATCACTGATCGCGAGAAGACACGGTTTCTCACGCAAACGCGGCCAGTGTTGCCAATTGTTGATAAGATTTTCCATAGACATAGGATGCATTCGGGGTGACGCTTGGTCTGTTCTTTTTAACAGCACTGCTGAACGGGTGCTGCTAAAAGAACAGACCAACTATTAAGCCGAGTCTTTAAAACTTACTACATTTATCGTAGGCTCGGCCTTAACCGCGTTCAATAGGTAATAGGAATTAAACGCAAATATAAAGAGATTGTTGAAGAAAGGCAAAAAATCTATTATAAGGCACGCGAAACATACAAGGAAACTGGAAAGAAAGAAGTAACTTACTGTTATTACCTATTGTAAGACGTTTTTATGTACTTGAGAAATGTGCGATATGCAGCAATTACAAACATTTTATTTATAACAATTCAATATGTATAAGTTTAATTTATATTTCTTATAAGGAACGTAAATCTTCATCAGGCCGATCTACTATATTCCTCCAGTAATTTCAATATCTGCTCCACTTATATAGGAACTCCTGTCTGAAACTAAAAATGCAATTACCTCTGCCACTTCTTGTGGCTCTGCTATTCTCTGGAGTGCCACTGCTTTTATTAACATCTGTCCTGTTGTATCTGATACAAATGACATCATAGGAGGTTTCTATAAAACCAGGTAGCACTGCATTAACTCAAATCCCTAATCTGTAAGATGCAGACAATAGATTTATATTTTGCAAATAAAAAGAAACATAAATAAGTTCGTTAATACATATACATATAACATGTACTTTCCAAACTCCATACAAGCAAACTTAGTTATAGCTAATATCCCAGCTTCTGTTGCACTATAGACTCCTATGTTGGATAACGGACGTTTGGCAGCAATTGAACTAATATTGACAATTGAAGAATTTTTTGTTGCATCTGCATCTATCATCGCTTTGACAGCAATTTGCATAACCAAGAAAGTGCCTTTCAAATTAACATTAATTAATTTATAAAAATCCTCGCCCCTAAAATTCAACAGGTCACCTGTCAATACAATGCCTGCAGAATTCATAATGATGGTAGGTGGCTTTGGGAATTGCTGCTTGTGACATCTTTAAAAGTTGTTTCAATACTTTCCAGTTCAGTGACCTGCATATGCAAAGCAACATGACCTGTACCTATAATAATGAACATACCATTAGAAGAAGATTAATATAAGAGGTAATTATGAAGCAAAATTAACAACAGAGATTATGCAAGATTCTCTGGTCTCGAATGGAAATGAAGATCCTAACATTATAATATTAGAAAGCTAAAACAGACATATTAGTGTGGAAATTCTTTGTCACCCGAAAAAACAAATTATTTACGACGTCCTGTACAAAGTTTGAAAAATTTACAAACAATACTTTGAGTTTATTCGATTTTCAGTTTTGATTAAAACCTATATTCACTGAGATGAACAGACCTTCCAAAGTGTTTAGAATTTCCTGACTACTCTTGACATTCTGATCAGTCGCGACGACTATGGCGCCTTCTCGGGCTAAAACGTGACGTACCGCCCTTCCAATACCACTTCCAGCACCTACCAATATGATCGAAGAAACGATATTACATCACAACGCGATATAAGCGCGATATTCACGTTGGACGCTTCTTTTACTGAGCAATGTCAAGGTCACTTATATCTGGTCGATTAAATCATGAAAAATCCTTCTATAATGAATCAATATATTATGATTGGTAAATTTATAATTATAATTGTTTATTCAAGAGAAACATAGTGAATCGTTAGATAAAATTCAAAATTAATTCACATAAGAGAAACATAGTGAATCGTTAGATAATTCAAAATTAATTCACTAAATATTACGTAAAACTTAACAAACCAGTGACAAGCGCCAATTTTCCATTCAGGAGCTTCGGCGTATTACGAATTTAATGAAATGTATTACAACAAGAAGAACAAGCTTGTGAACTGACGACAAAAAGATGCAAGACCGAGTGGCTTACACGAATATGTACAAACATGACTTGTCAATAAGGAAAGGAGAATCACGCGCTTCGTATCAAGATCACGAATTATCAAAGTTGTATCATCAAAGATTATATAATCGTATATCAAATCTTAAATATTCGTACGTATTCGCATTCATGACTACGAAATAGACTCATCAATGATTAAACAAATGTTAATACGAGAGAACTGTTTTCGATCCACTATAAATATATATGAAGATGATTGGCCTATTATTACGATTAACTTATTATTTCGATTACTGTTACCAGTACTTTAATTATTTAATTACCGATTCAATGTTCGTTCACCCGATAGATCGCACCGGCCGAACCGCCACCGGACACCTGATCGTTGCAGCTAAGTGCTCGAGATATCTCCGGATCGACCGTACCAGCGTATCGCACTACATGTTCACTATATAGAATTAATTCTTTTGTTTTTTTTGTTGCTCACAAATCTACGCTTCTTCTATCGAACCCGACGAGCGATATCCGCAGACATTAACACGGCTAACATAACCGGCGCCGGAATTCGGCCGTTCCAATGTTAATTCATAAATTTACCTTAAACCGCATTTTTCATGCGCAAAAGTTGCGGATGTGGCGCGAACAAATGGTGATTTTATCGTCAGTGTTGAAAAATCGTCACAACTAAAGGTGACTTTCCCTAAAGTCCGATCAAGCTAATCGACGATTTTAAGTTGTCGTCAGTCAAGTGTTACCTGCTCTTCCTGGCAAACCCAAATAGGTATTATTAGCTTTCCGATTGTCGTCAACAAGTTACAGAAGTGGAAATTGGTGCTGGCGATTCTTATCATAATTCATCGGTCAGATCGATTAATCGGAATTTGAAGAAAGTCACGTTAAGAAGTTCTATTTTCAAAATAGGCGCATACGGAGGGTTGTCCTTAAGCGGTGTTTCGGGCTTTTCTCCGCTCGCGTCGCTGGTAAACCGGTCTCGAGTGGCGCTATCTGACGACGAGAGCGCGCACCGGAGCAAGCGTCTCTGCGTACGCGTTGCTTTCTCGCCAGCGGTGCTCGCGTCTCGCCGCTCCGCCTCGCGAAATCGAGGGTGCTGGTGCACACGAGAGTCGAGTGCAACAACTGGCAAAATGAAGATGGCGGACGGACCCACGATCCTGCGAAGAAACAGGCCCGGGACAAAAGCAGAGGTTATTAACGTCGTTTTCATTTCGCTCGGGAATCCTCGCACCAGCGTGCCGTCCGGGCGGCGTTCGCCCGCTCAGAAATCCACCGACTACCGCCGGCCGCGGTATCCCCCCGGAGATCTCACGACACTTCCTCCCTCCTTGACACTTGCCCGATGAAAATCAATGACCGCTTCGTGAGATAAACCCCGACGCACATTGTTTACAGTACGAGAATGAATACGATGATCCTCCTCGGGCCAGTCGCAATCGCGAGTACCGTTCGCGAGATGGTTTCGCGAGTATCCACGATCAGGGAGCCACCCGGAGCGTGACGAATTTTGACAGATCGTTTTCTTCCCCCGCACATTTTCCCGCACGAACCCGTTTCGCCACGAATCGCCCGTTCACCTCGGCGTTTCTTGTTGATCGTGGAATATGCGGAAACGAGATTGACGTAAAACTCCGCGGTATTTTATATATCGGTTCTATTTTTACATCTCGTGATGCACTATATGGCGCGAAGGGAGACCGCGAGGATCGATTGTTTAATGACGCGCGCGTTGACGCAAGCGTAAATTGTTTACCGCGTTTATACTGAGCTTTTTTACCCTGTCGTAGGACTTCAGTAGGTGGCCTGATGAACCATTCGAGGAGATGGATAGCACGCTGGCAGTGCAGCAGTACATTCAACAGATGATCAGAAGAGATCCGTCTAACATCGATTTGATACTTAACATGCCGGAGGCCAACGACGAGGGGGTGTGGAAGTACGAGCATCTCAGGCAGTTCTGTATGGAGCTGAACGGGTTGGCGGTGAGGTTACAGGAAGAATGCCATCCTGAAACGTGCACACAGATGACGGCGACGGAACAGTGGATATTTCTGTGCGCCGCTCACAAGACTCCCAAGGAGTGCCCCGCGATCGACTACACGCGACACACGCTGGACGGAGCGGCGTGTTTACTCAACAGCAACAAGTATTTCCCCAGCAGGTATCCCCTTTGCTTTGTCACTGTTGCTTCCCGCTGAATTGACGTTTTGATATTGAGGGCTCTGCTTTCAGGAGAAAACCGATCGTACGAATTTTCATCGCACAAGCATCGTAATATGAATTTACGCGATACCTGCATCTCTCTGTTGCAGAATCAGTATCAAGGAATCTTCCGTAGCAAAACTTGGCTCCGTCTGCCGCAGGGTTTACAGAATCTTCTCTCACGCATACTTCCACCACAGAACGATATTCGACGAATTTGAGAACGAGACTTTTCTTTGCCGCAGGTAACGTCTCGGCTTAACGTCGTCTACCTGGCCGATCGCCGTCGGTGACTTTACCGGATTAATAACGGAGGCACCGTGTGAATCCTCTGTTTCAGGTTTACCGCTTTTGTAACCAAATACAATCTGATGTCGAAGGACAATTTGATAGTACCTATTATGGAAGGCGACGGCGCAACGGAGAGTGAAGCATAGGATCTAACGATGCGGTCGTATTGCCCGAAGTCCAATTGCCAGATTTAGTAGGAGGAGCTGCTAATATTCACGCGTTATTCCAAACGGGGTCAGTAAAAACTCACTCTTGCTTGAATAGTGCGACTTTCTTGCGACCTTTCATATCTGTCCCCCCGACACCCGTTAAATGGAATATTCTTCTCTCGATGAGTATTTTAATAATTATCAATAATAGTTTCTCAAATAGTTTTCTCTTGGTATCATTCTGTACATGTAACGCGGCGTATTACTCGCGTCCGATAAACGTATCTTTCGTGTTTCTTCGTTCCCTTCTCCAACGTTAAAAATCTCGGGACGGTCGTTAAAACGAAGAATCCGTTGAAACTATTGCCGAGTTTTCGAAAACACACGCTATGTGGTAATTAAAAAAAAATATGTTAATAATATATCATGTTTGAAATAGTACGATGTTACGAAACTTTTAACCCTGTGCTGTCGAATTTACTATTGGCCACTTCCCGCGGAGGGAAGTGCCTCCTCCCTCATTCTACATTTTGAATGTATAACGATTAGACTTTGCAAGTCTCTTCTGTAAAAAGACTACGTATCTATATATTGAAAACGTATGTGTAATGGAACAATATACTGTATAATTCATAACTCATTTATACTTAGTTACGTAAGTTAACGGTTGTTTGTAATTTCGGGAAGCATTCGTAACGTTATTCCGTCGTGTGGGCGACATCCTAAAAATTGTATACTCGTTATATTTATCAGCTCTGTATATGCGAGATACTAATGTCGGATTATAATTATAATCTGCAATTTATTTCGAGGTGAGAGCGTTTCTGACTTGAGAAATGAAAATTATGTAGACAGATCTTTTGACATTGCATACACATTGTTAGTTTTGTTAGCTAAAGTGAATGAAAAGATCCAGGCTCGTCTTTCTGAGGAGCTGCTATATCATACTACTCGTAAAAAAAAAAACTGGCTTTTTGCAAAATGATAAAATGTACAAGTCTTTCAGCCTGAACATATTGACGAGACCGTATCTATCACGTAATTACTTTTTTACTATGAGATTTAAGAAATCTAGTTTTAAACCATGATTCTTACGAACGTTATAAACGTGTTAAAAGCGGCTCGATGAAAAACAAGATACCGTTAAACAGAGATTTCCAACGAGCTGAAAGCTTCGAACGTTTGTTGTCGGTGTGTACAATTGGTGACACTAAGAAAAAGAAAGAAAGAGAGAGAGAGAGAATGCGAATTTATATAAACGATTGTAGAATTTTACATATTATGTTACTGTAAGGACAAAAGTGTTGATCTGGAACGATCGTAGTAACCATCATCACGTAGTTGATCTTTGTAAAACCTATTATTAGAGAGAGATATAGTGATGAATGTGCTNATATATATATATATATATATATTTATCAAGTACAGCAATATGCGAATTGAGCGAATTGATGCCAGACTTTCCTATCCCGCGCGTTGTCGGTGAAATTTCGTACTTCACTACGGGAGACTTTCAGACAGACCGTTCTGTTTTATATATTAGATATAAAAATAGGTTACACGATAAGTTATATCGCTAATGAACTTGAATTAGCGCGAGCACGAACGTCGTTCTTTTTTTTTTCCTTTTTTAAACGGATGACGTAGTCTCAGTGTAAAACGTTTAAGCGAGCGTTCATGGGAAAAGCGATTCCATAATTAAGAGAAGTAGCGTTTGCAAGACCCGATTTTCTGGCAGTGAGTAGGAAATAGTGCGAGGTGGCGAGCGACGATAACGACGGTATATTCATTGTAACATTTTTTCATCCTATAGAAAAACTGTGTTCACACGAATACACACATATATACACGCGTTCGTCGCAATATCTTTCTATGATTTTGATCGAAAGGCGCAACAGTTACGAGTTAATCGTACGGGAGAGCCAACTCATAATTCACACATCGGCGTATGTATGGGACACAAAAATTGTACTGCCCTAATACGCTTCCGGCATTGAGATTCTAAATGGCCGACTTTTGGCTCTTGTAAATCGCGCGTCTCGAGCATCCACGCCGCTCCTTTTCGTATCCGAAACGCAACGGGAAGGACATTGTAATACTGTACATAGAACTTGTAAATACGAAGAAGAAAAAAAACTCGCGAAATAATGTATTGATGAATACGTCGAGTCGCGTGACGAGTCGGGACAACAGAAATATAATATGTATATGACGTGTGACTATACTACGTGACAATTATCTATGTATTAATAGAGAATAAACTTTCTACATACAGCTTTGTTTCCGGTATCCCTCCTCTTCTTTTAATTATTGTATCGAGTGTACTTATTGACGGCAAAACAATAACAATATATAAAATTTGTAAATTTTCATATTTCCATTACGTACGTTATTTTTACGCGTTATAAAATTTCAAGAGGTCTTTGACGGTTATCGTTACAGAATTCTCCGCGAAAAGATCAATAAAATTTTACACTGCAAAAATGCCGTAACAATCTACCTATAATATCTGCGAATTTTATTACACTTCGAGAGAAATCGTACAATCTAAAAGTAAATATTTCCTAAACTGCGATATTTGTATCATTGTCCATCAGGATTTATTCTTCTTCCTTTTCCTCGAGGATGGCTCCGCTTGCGTATCTTTTGACCTTTTCTGTCCGATTTTCAATCCCATCGCAGAGAATTCCTTGATATCGTTGCGAGTCGTACAACTGGCGTTTTCTGTCTCAGCGCTCGTTTCCGAATTCGCTTTATTTTCCGGAAAGTTCCCACAATCTCCAGGCGCCTGATATCTGAAAATGTATTTTATGAAGAAGAATTAAATTAATTAATTCGTGTAAATTAGCTTTATGCTTTATTTTGTCGTTAATATTTCTAATATGACTGAATAATTGAAATATCGGTCGGAAAATTCTTGGCATTCTCCCATCGCGGTAATGAATATAAAAATACGTTTCAGATGTCAAGCGCCTAAAGATCGTGGGAACTTTCCGGAAAAGGAAGATGCAGCTAATTCGAAAACGAACATTAAGATAGAAAGCGTCAACTGTGCGACTGGCATCGATACCAAGGAATTCCCTGCGATGGGATTAAAAATAGGATAGAAAAGGCCAAGGAATATGCAAGCCATCCTCGAGGAAAAATAAGAAAAGCAAATCCTGATGGACAATGATACAAATTAATATCGCAATTTAGGAAATATTTATTTTTAAATTACTGCGATGGGAGAATGTCAAGAATTTTCCGACGGATATTTCAATTATTCAGTCATATTAGAAATACTAACGATAAAGCAATGCATAAAACTAATTTATATGAATTAATTAATTAAATTTCTTTTCATTTTTCCTTATTTTCAAAAATATTGTCGAAATTTTGTGAAAAATTACGTTTCTTTGAAGACGTTAAGAATTAACTTCTAAAACTTTAGATATTTGACATAAGGAATATTAAACGAGAGACTCGTGTGCAATTTTTTCCGACAATTTTAGAGATCATACGAGTCAACGAATTAAACAAATCTCACCCAAGCTCCGTTGTGTCTTCAATATTCTTAGTTAACAAAATATGAATTTCCGGTACTTGATAAGTATCGGAATGAGTCTCGTCGGTTGCGTCTTCCTTCGATTTAACCGACCTCCTGAAATCGATCGATGAATTACAAAATTGACGTTTGAACCGTTGAACTGGTTCAGCCGACGCTCGTTTGCTCGACTTACTTGGTATAACGCAACTTCGTGACTTGGTGAAGACCCTCGTGCTTCCTCTTGAAGAGTTCTGCGCAGGAAATGGTTTTCCCAATGGCTTGCCCGACCCCGGTCCAGACGACGCTATTATTATTGGGAAATTCTTTCAATGCGTAGGCAAGCACGTTCCTAATCTTGGTGCCGCTCTTCACCTTCAACCAGATGTCACGTGAGTAAAATTGAATAACGTCACGTGGTCCTGAAGATCTCAAAGACTTACGTGCATGCAGATAAATTTCTCCGGAAGATTCTTTATGGGTATCGTAGTACTTTCCGTATCGGTCGGCTCTTCTCTCGGCTCTACGAGTTTCAGCTTCGCCTTTGATCTTCCCATCTGGAATAGAACGAGAACAAATTTTATGTACAAGTCCATTCGCCGGGCAACTGTTTAAACATTCGTTAAATTGACGATTCCACTTTATTCGTGAGTCATCAAAAAACAATCAATGCAATTACACTATTAACCAACAGGAAAAGGAGGATTAGAGGATCAGATTACCTATCTTTGGCTTAATCGGGAGCAAATGTTAAAAGTATTATAACTTGGGTTTCAACCATTGAGCTATTCAATGTTAAGCATTAAAAAGAAACGACTCGAGATCTCGTATTATTCGAAAACATCTCGCGGGAGACGAACCCATCGTCAGGATACGTAGGACGAGAAGATGAAGGAGTTTTTTGTCTACCGATATAAGGTCAGTGCGATGTTAATGGGGCGTAATTTCAGAAATAGTTCGGCTGTTCTGGAAATCGAAGCGAACGGCGGCAGTAGTGGCAGTGGAGGTGTGTTTAGACACCGCATCTCTCTCTCTCTCTCTTTCTCTCTCTCTTTCTCTCTCTCTCTCTCTCTCTGCCAGTAGGTCATGGGTTCACAAGCATCGTCGCTTCGGCGTGCCATCGCTGGGAACCATTCATGGAACTTGGAGCGACCTTGTACAGTCGTATGCAGAAATATCTCGCCGATCTTGGCGTTCATCCGGGGTGAACTATCGTACGACGATGATGAGGATATGGAGCGTCTATTCGAGATCTCGGACATTTCTTCCTCAGATGCCTACGTTATTTCAAAAAGTCATTCACGGGAAGAAAACTCAGTTCCTAAAAACACGACGGCGAGAAACGGGTACATCTGTTAACGCGATTGAGAATACTCATGTGAACATTCAGCTGCATTAAAACTCGGTTGAGAAAATTCAGAGTAATCGATTGAGTATTACAGGAATCTTTTTGTCTCTACAATTAAGTTTTTGCCTGACCCCCAAGCAATAGGGAATTCAGTTGCACTAACGGTGCTATTTTTTCCGTGTAAATCTCACAGGTAAAATTGCGGAAACTTGACGTTGATTCCTTATATTCTCCACAAGATATCGCCCTCTGGAAACACTCAGTGTACTCAGTATACTCAATGTACTCACCCCTATACAATTTTTATAAATCAACCAGCTATATAAAAGATTAAAAAGATATCTATACTAAATATTCATTATCATCTTCACCAACAAAATATTGACGGAAGTTCGGTCATCCTTTAGTCACTTTTAGACGAAGAGAGTAAAAACACAGAGACCGCGAAGACGCTCCGCGAGTTTGTTTGCGCGGGTAACTCATAAATCCGATAATCGGTTTCGCTCAGAGACACATCGATGTCACGATGAGCCAACTCCCCGACATAATTAATCGAATCAATCATCAGATAGACGCGTTCGCGTCCGACAGAAAATCGAAGCTAGTTTACCGTCCGTAATTAATTGTAATCAAAGTGGCGTTGTTAATTCCGCAGCATTACACATCGATCTCCCTCCATCGACGCCACACTTGCCCAGCGTCCCATTACTTTAATAACGTTTTTTGATCCACGATCCTCGCCAATTAATATCGACGGTATCTGGTGTCACGAGGAGGAGAGGAATAAGGAGCAGACGGGGATATCCTTCGACAGTCGGCGTCGGGGATATATATAATTCAGCGGAATTCCGGAGCGTACCGCGCGCGGAAAAAAGACGCCGACGACGAGACGAGCGAGATCGCCGCCGCTGTTGTAGGTGCCGGATGGGGAAGTCCCATCAATATTTTCCAATCAGCATTCGATTACGCGATATACCCCCGTCGCCGATAGGGGGAGGGGAAGGGGGCGGCCTCGTTCCCCGCCGAAGAAGGGGGTGAGACACAAGAGGGTGAGGACAACGCGGGGTTCTCGCAGAGGGTCGACGCGTGGGCGTATATGGTAGCGGTATGCGCGGCATACTCCGCATAGCGTCGCGACGCCCCGACGCCATATTGCATTATTAAGCACCCCCTTCCGCGGCCGCTCCCGCATTCCAACATTATGAACGTTTTTATCCCTAAAGGGCCGGAGGCTGCGAGCGAAAGAAGCAGGACGCGCCGATCGCCGCTCGTCTGCTCGATCTCAACTCTACGTCTCGGGGTTCATTAGCCCCCGCGACGAACGTGTTCGGGGGGTGAAAGCCGCCCCCTGAGCGCCACACGTATGTGTCCTCCGCCCGACGTGCTGTAAAGACGGGACGACGCAGGCGAACGAGAGAGTGTCGCAGTGTGCGATAAGGAAATATTGATAGATTGATGGATAAGAGTAACCGTGAAATATTTTAGAGCGAGTCCTCCTTATAAGAACGCGAGCACGTTAAAGAAATAGAAATAAAAAGAAATATAGAGATATTATAGTACAACGATGCGGAAGCGTCATGGACGGAAAGGACGTATTGTACTTACGAGAAAATTCAACGTAAAATTGTATAAAAGAAAGTATTAAAGAAGTATACGTAAAAAAAGTGCTATGATAGAACTGAAGGAAAAAAAAGTGTTACATTCGAATAATATTTACTTAACCCAAGTAAATTAATTAACTCCAATACTCCACAGCAAATATTTACATAAATGTAGCACCATTTTCTTTCAGAGTACAGAATAACATAAAGAGATATAAAATGAGCGAGAGGGAACATATTGTATTTACTAAAATGTAATATAAAATTGTGTAGATGTGTTGACAAAAAGAAAGATAAAGAAATACAAAGTAGTCTAAAGTGTCGGAGGGAAACTACCGAAGTTCTCGGTTCGTCCATTCGTTCGTTCGTCGGGATGAGATGTATTATTTCAATAAAAAGATTCGGATGACAAGTGCATGAAAGAATTCGATGTCGGTAGATATCGATAAAGAGGAGGATGTTCGTTAAAATTATCGTTTGCATTTGAATGCTGTACGCATGAGAAATATGTTCATTCCGAGGGACGAGTCGCGCTGACAGTTCGAGGTAATTAACTCCGAGTTAATGATAGTCACCTCCCTCACCTCCGCCCCCTCCCTCACATCGCACCCTTAAATTGAGATGCCACGTATAATATAAACGGACAAAGAAAATTCAATTAGCCGGAATTTGCGCTAATTGACAACTCAAACGAAAATACTCACGAAATCAACGGACGGCGATCGAACATTCGGAGACAGATTTTTTTCGAAATAAAATAAAATTCGCATAAAATTAATTGCCTTGCACACGAGAACGGAATTTCCCTTTCATGAAGAGCGTTTTGATACGCAACGGACGATGCTCGCCTGAAATTTTATCGAGTTTCGCCCACGGAGGCCTTTTACGGTCACCGATTGCGTCCGGTCGGAGTGAAAAGCATAGAAAATAATTACGGCAGATTTTAAAACGCCCGTACCATTTGTCACGCGTAATCATAACGGCCCGTTGATTAATCCATCTCGGTCACCGTGACATTTCCGCCGTGACATTCTTCACCGCCTATCGGCAACAGATTCGGAATTGCGTCTTTCTCGTTTCTTTTTTTAAACAAGGCCGGCGATTTAATCGCCGTATCGCGGGCCTAATTGCCGCGCTGAAACACCGGGGCGTTTACACCAATCCCGTCGGCAATCAATATCGCATCGCGGCGCACCGCCGTAATCGACGGACGAATATTCGTAATGCTTCTAGATTACCGTTCGAACCTCTCGACTTTCCCCGAGCTATAATTACCCGCCAGCAAATTGACCTGGCGCGGACTAATTTCAATTCGCGGAACATGAGGGAGTCAACTCGCTCATTCTATCGCGATTACGATTCGCCGGGGTGCGCGATCGAAAACGCGTATCGCGCGATGCCTTGAGGGTTGACGTCGCCGATTCTTCGCGGGTCAAGAGTTTCCCGAAGATATCGTGCACACTTCGCGTGTCCGCTCTCCTGCTCTCTCTCCCCCCTCCCCCCGTCTTCCCTGCCTTTACCTCGGCGAAGAGAATCAGCGGACGTCTTCTGCGGCTGGCACCCTCTTCGCGATGCCTACGTACCCCCTTTTCTCCGTCGTAATAAACCGCGAGAACGCTAGCATCCAATTTACTCGAGTGGACGCGGCGTGGTGTACGGAATGTCCCGAGATCACCGAATGCCCCATTAATCGCGGATCCTGCGGGATCGATTTTCCCTTCGACGTAGGTTTTCTTCGGAAGGAAGATCGTCGTGGGGTCTCCTCGTTGAGGAGTTTTCGAGCGACCGACCGACCGACCGGCAAGCAAGAATTACGAGAGCCGGTCAGGAACTAAGCGTTTCGGAGAGAAAGGCGGACAATGCATTTGCATATTGCAGACGATTAAATAAATATTAATTAGTCAATTAATTAAATATATATTAATAGAAAATTAAGCAAGAAATTGAAATAGCAAATTGAATTGTCGTTAAGCGGAACGCCGCGCAAATCAGTCGATGCAGCGAGACGTTTTGCACGGGAGAAAACGATTCGCGCGTTCGATTTATCTCCGATTGCTGTGAATTTTTTAATTAACGCTATTAATATCGGGCAGCCTTCGCTTGAATAGAATTTTTCTGGAGCTTAACCGAGAAGATGCGTAACAGAGGGAACGAGTCTATCACGTAGGTCATAAGCCCTCTCAATGTTCGCATTCGGGAGAGATCGATCCCAAACTGATCCAAGAACGCGATTGAGAGGATATCTTTTTGTGGGTTCTGGGACACCTCGTGTAGGTAAATCCGATCGTTCTTGATCTTCCTTGATCTTCCGTCCTTGATTTCCACACAAAATAACGTGGCAGAGGGAGAGAGGCTCTTTGTAGAAGTTTGCCGGCCGGGGAGGGTGGAGAAGACAGTTCCGAACGATTGTATGAATATTTCCGAGTCTATCACATCGTGCGCAGAAAATAAAATAAATTCCTTCTCCTTTCCTCGTCGTTTCATTTAATCGCAGATCTGCGCCGATTTTTGTCATCCCCGATGGGAATATTTCGCTGAAAATATTATGAAATCGATGAAAAGTGAAATGAAAGTTATTGAAAAATTACTGAATATACACAAAAATCAATCATAAATTTCCTTATGAAATACAATGTAATACTGTGAAGTATAAGGAAAGTTAAAGTATATTGTTGAAAAGAAAGAAAAAAATTTATACATATTAAATATCATAAAATTTACCGAATAAAACTGAAAGCTGCGTGACTTTTTAAAGAAAAATTGCTAAATGATTGCTGAAATTGATGAAACTGAATTACTGAAATTGATGAAGTGATAAAGAAATGAGGTCAATTGAGACAGACTTTCAAATACATTTCAGCAAATTTTCATTATACTTTCAGTAAAATATTTCCATCGGGGATTTCCTCTTTCTTCCTCAGTGAAATTGTCGACAATTCATTTGACGATCCGTTACCTTCAAAGCATCTGTTGCGAAATATCGGGTTTCGACTTGTATTTGTTATTTTGATATTGTATTGTAATTATACCGTTCACACATGCGCCCTCGCGGAATCCCCAGATTGTATCTTTCGTGTTACATCTTTATCATCTCATCTGTTTCGGCAATTGTGATGCGTCACAAGATATTTTGCAAAATTTATGAAAGTTTAATCGCATGTGATTAAATACCTTTCTCTCCTCGCGCCAAAGAAAGCTCAACTGGAGTAATATATTTTGCATATCGAATATGCAAAATAGATTTATCAGAAAGTTATGATACGCAGCTGCAGTGAGGAAAAAATTAGAATGACAATTCTATGAGTTTCACGTTTTATCACTCGGCTCTCTCTCTCTCTCTCTCTCTCTCTCGATGAGATACTTGCAGGCAAATATTTGGCGAGATACCCAGACACGAGTATTCGGCGGATTTTTAATATCTCCCCGCGCTCTCGCGCACACACAGACACACAGGCGTCTAATTTGCAAGTCGATTCGTATAATTTTCGTATAAAAGTTTTCGCACGGCGGCAAATTGACTTCGCGGAGGCGATTTTCGGCAGATGATTTCGCCGGCCACACGCACAAAGGCACGCACACGCGCGCACATTTCAAGTGGATCGCGATCGCGTCAGGGCGGGCGCGGCCGCGAGAGAGGCCAGCGCGCGCGGCGGCGCGCGTCTTTTCGCGAAACCCCGAAGAAGTCCTGCGGCGAAGAAGGACCTGCGTTTGCGCAGGAACCGCCGAATGGAATTTTGCGCCATGGAGGCCCCGATATATCCCCGCGGTGGACGACGAACGCTACTCCGGATTGTTCAGTTCAGTTCGGTCGCCATCCGATCCAACGTAAGCTCGCCGGGCATCGCCGTGTCATCCACGTCACTGTTATCAGCAACAGGTAGGAGAATGCACGGAGCCCCCGCTGGCATCCGCGCGTCGCGTCCACGAATTTTGCAATATCGCGAGATTGCGAGTGCGCGAAAGTGGCGGCTCGCGATCGCGGGAGCGATCTAACTTGAAATTACGCGAGCGCGCGTCATGCTGCTCGAGTCTTTATCGCAGCCGGCGAAATCACGGGAAATTGCTTCGCTTTGACAGATCGATTCGCACGTGGACGTTGTGACAGTATGTGGTGTAAAACGTGTAAGACGAAGGTGTCGCATCCGGTTTAAGGACAGTTTGAGGGGTAAGGTAAAGCCGAGGAAATCGCGATACGGTCACGTTCCATTGTTGGTTTGCAGAGAAAGACGTAGGCTTTGTTCTCCTTCCGTCTTTTCATTTCTGCAGAGGAGAACAAAATCCGCAAAACAGCATCAAGTATGCACGCGCGGTATTATAAATGACAAGAGAAACGACGTGGTAACGTGCCTGAGATATTCCGACGTCCGGGACATCCGGGACGTCGAGTCGAAGATATTAACGCGAGTAACGATCAAGGAAATTACAAATTAAGCCAAAAGTGCGAAAGTCGAGTAGACCTGGACGAAAGAAAGATTTATAAGTATATATAAATTAAATATATATAAGTTAAGATACACACCATAACGTATAAAATATTGGCGACATTCATCTTGAGCGAAACATCGGCGGGAGAAGTTGTTTAAAAAACGTGATACATCGAACGCGAAACGCCACCGTGTGTTAACAGGGACGGTTTGGTCGTGCGAGTAAACTAATAATCAACTTCAGTTTCACGAAGTTTATTTAGAAATTTACCGTCTTATAATTAATTCACGGTCTTTACAGTCACCGAACGCGAAACACGCGGAAGTAGTGCTCGCGCCTAACCCCCCGCGGAAGCAAAAAAAACCAATCCCAAGCGCTTATTAATACGAAGCTCAGAATCGCACAATCTAACGGCCGAGAAGAAAAAGTGCCGAATTATTTAGCTGTCACCAGAAGTTTAATTCTCGATAACATATTATTTCTATCGACTTAGTCTCGTCAGCTGTTTGCCTTTGTGAAAGTCTGTTTGTCTGCGCGCGTTTTTGCCTGCGAACTCGCGTCTACAATCACTCGTCTATCTCGTGATAATTCGAATTAATCTCCTAATATAAGTGGATATCGCAGTAGGTTCGATATACCAGTAACGCGCGCATTTCAAGAGAATGAATGTCTTGAAAGATACATGAATACTCTGTAATAAAGCTCGTACCTTTCCGCGTGCACGCGAGATGCTTGAAATTTCATCGTCCTCCAATCGTCTCATCGTCCAATCCAATGCGAAGGTCGCCGAATTGAGCGTATAAAAGCAGCCGCCATGGACATCGAAACGTTCCGCGTCCGCGGCAGGCAGATGATAGAGTACATCTGCGAATTTGTGAGCACCATCCATACCAGGAGGGTCACGCCAGACATCGGCCCCGGCTATCTCAGGCCTCTGCTGCCGTCAGAGCCGCCGAATGATCCGGAGTCGTGGGATGAGATCATGAAGGACGTGGAATCGAAGATCATGCCGGGGGTGAGTATTCGCGAATACCTCGGGCCGGTATGAGAGGAGGAATGAGTTTCGCGAAACATACCGGGAATGTGTAGAATTTTCGCGCAACCCGATCGCAATTGCTCACAGAGGTAAACTAATTAAAGTTTTCTTTCAAGTTATATTTTTCCTTAACGCCTTCCCCCTCCTCGCTCTCTCTCTCTCTCTCTCTCTCTTACTTATACACTCACGAAGACTCTCTTTGTAGAAATCTGCGAGGCGCTGTTTTCACGCTTAATTGAATTAGGTTATGTACACGGGTAAAAAGAAATTTAGTTAATTTAGTTTTAGTTTCAATTTAGTAATTTAGTTAAGTCTTTTGCCCCTGTACCTAGTTTCAAACTCCCACAGGTAAAAATTAGGTCTGGTAACTAAATTTCAGTTGCATTATATGGACAATTAGTTCATTTTTTCTATGTAATTATTGTAATATAACGTTCATTTTCTAGTAATATAACGGTTTCTTCTTCGTTTGCGGTGTAATTCGAATACGATGATTCGTGTGCATCGTTTAAGAAAGACGTTACAATGTCAATTCGAGGTTTCCTCGAGTTTCGCGATCTGCGACAAATGCGAAGTGTGCTTCTGGGAGCCGGGTGAACTTTCTTCCAGATCACGCATTGGCAGCATCCAAGGTTCCACGCCTACTTCCCGGCGGGAAATTCCTTTCCCTCTATTCTGGGTGACATGCTGTCCAACGCGATCGGCTGCATTGGATTTTCTTGGGTGAGCGAGAAATCTTCTTCGGGGGTACGATCTTCTAAGAAAGCACGGGGATGAATCTTGCGCGAAGCTATAATTAAACGAATCGTCGTCGCTCGACAGAACGGCGTAGCCGTTTGAGCGATCCGCTTCGATTTTCCCGCCGACTTCAGAAGTCCGGACGCGGGCCGATCTCGCGTCAAATCCGCGTGATAGATCGCGCCCTATTATTTGCTCGGTAATCGAGGCCTGAGCTTGAATTTTATTTGCTGTAGGCGGCCAGTCCAGCCTGCACGGAGCTGGAAACGATAGTCTGCGATTGGTTCGGTAATCTTCTCTCTCTGATTTCTTCACACAGAGATCGTTCAACAATTACGGCACGTGAAAATTGAGTATTTTCACCGCCCTCCTGCCTTTGTCACAAAGTTCTCGGGCCACCTTCCAATATTACGTGATATTATATGATGTAATATATGATATATGATATTATCCTCTCCCCTACTTCCACATTGTATTGCTAAATTTTGTTGGATCCAGCACGAAAATAAGAACTATGTGCCGGGGGTTTAATGTAACATTCAATGACCTTTACTCTCCCCCGCCTCCCCTCCTTGCCATCACAGTCGTCACGCAATCTAATAGACCGCCCCTCCGGGTGTAACGTAATTGTTAAATGATCTCATATTAGAATGTGACGATATTTATCGGACGATTCTGTGAATTCACCAAGTGATGCTTCTTCTGAAATCGCAGGCAAGGCGATTGGGTTGCCCACGGACTTCCTATACTTTAGCGAAGGCAGCAACGGCGGTGGCGTTATACAGGTATCATCGAAGATTGTACATTCGTTCGACATAAAATAATGAAAAATTTTAAAAACTGATTCGCGAAGTGTGCTGCGATGGAGGGTGTCACAGAATCATCGTTTTTTGGCCCGATATTTAAAAATCTCTGCTTGGTCTGGAATCGATTTTTTCACGAAGATAATTAGTGGTATTGAAAAATCAAAGCTCTACGGCAATTATACTATTCAGAGAAGAATCGTGGAATGTTCCGTTTCAAATGTAGAAGTGTCTATGCTCAAAAAAATACACTTTGCTATTCGGGTTTGCCGCTAATTCTCACAATAAATAAACGTAAACGTAAAAAAAAAAAACTCAAGGCCAACTTGAGCCAAACTGACTTGGCCTTCTCTATCGGTACGGTTAAATCGAACAAGCGTCGCTTCGACAGAATACCGATCCACGACTTGATCGACACTCAACGCCAGAAAAATCGGCAAATCATGACGATTAATGGCTTCCGGAACTGTCGTTAGAAGTCGCCCGGTGATTCTGATACACCCTGTACAACGTATTCGATATAAAGGATTCAATAACAGTGAAAAATCCCTCAATACCAAGTGGTAAAAGTACTATGGCCGCTCGGCCGTGTCCAACGCTCGTGACTGAAATTAGAATTACGACACGCGGAATCCTCGGGCGGTGTGCGAATGTCAAAGGTCGATTAACGAAACTATATAGGGCTCGGCGTCGGAATGCGTCCTCGTGTGCATGCTGGCCGCTCGGGCGCAAGCGATTGCTAGGCTCAAGGCATCCCCCGCGTACGCACACTTGGACGAAACCGTGTTGCTCGGCAAGCTGATGGCGTATTGCAGCCGAGAGAGTCATAGTTGCGTCGAGAAGGACGCAATGATATGCTTCGTGACGCTGCGCATCCTCGAGCCCGACGAGAAGAGCGTGCTCCGTGGCGAGACCTTGCAGCAGGTGCGTTTCCCGCAGTATCGTCAACGCGGATTCCTCAGTAGGAACGACATCGCGATTTTTCCGTTGACGCGAACACGGTATCAGAGGAATGGAAATGCAATTGATTCGATTTTACATGTAACCTCTAGCGAGACGGTATTCATGATGCCGGTCATCAATAACCGTCACGATCGATATTGAACGTCTCATGCCCGTTTCTACCATCATGATTTCGATCTAATCGACGATTAACGCAACGGAATTGACCGATCGCATTGGCCAATTGCTGAATTGATCGAAACGATCGGTTAATTCCGTCGAGTCAATCGTCGATTAGATTTAAATCATAACGTCAGAAAACGGGCATTAATGAGCTATGCTCGTACGGTTAACGAACTTAATCGGCGAAATGACTGTTGATTAACCGATGAAATTACGAGATGACAATTCGGACCTATGATACTTATTTTCGCGCTTCGATTAACAGGCAATCGAGAAAGATATAGCTCAGGGTTACGTTCCTTTCTTCGTCTCGACGACACTCGGCACAACCGCTTGTTGTTCGTTCGACAACCTCAAGGAGATCGGGCCGGTTTGCAAGAAATATCCAGGGGTAAGTGGGACGTTACGTAAACTTGACGGTAATTCCAGCTATTGTCGATCGTCCACTTTACGTCGCTCTTTCGACTTTACGGGATACCAAGCGGAGTTTCTGTCGCAGGTCTGGCTTCATGTGGACGCTGCTTATGCCGGGAACGCTTTCATCTGTCCGGAATTGAAATACTTGATGGCAGGCATCGAATACGCCGATTCCTTCAATACCAATACCAACAAGTTTCTGTTGACGAATTTCGACTGCTCCTGTCTTTGGGTGCGCGACAGATTCAAGTTGACCAGCGCTCTCGTCGTGGACCCGCTTTACCTCAAGCATACGCATGCGGATACGACTATAGATTACCGGTAATTTGAATTCTGCTTATAATTATACAATACTGATTAAACTAAATAATATACTTAGAATTAAGAAAAATTGTTTGCAAAATCGTGCGTTTTTAATATAACCATATTCTCGTCAATATAAAAATATCAAGGCAAAATCAACAAAAAATAAATACTCTGTCAGATATTTTATATTCTATTTTGATACATATATTGTGAGTGTATGTGTATGTACCTCATATGAAAACTAAATATCTCGTCAAGTATCTACTTTTTGCCAATTTTTCTTTGATACTTTTATGCACAAAATGGCTTGCAACATAAATAAAAAGAAATAGCAATAAGAAGAAATAAATAACCGATTACTATCATATCCTGAGTCTGAAAAAGAGTCTGAAATATCCGATATACTCGAGCATTTGGAACTTAAGCCACTAAGTTAATACGCATGAAATTATTTTGTAGACACTGGAGCATACCGCTGAGTAGACGATTCCGTTCGCTTAAATTATGGTTCGTAATACGATCTCATGGAATATCTGGCTTGCAAACCTACATTCGAAACCATGTGCGACTTGCTAAAAGATTCGAGGCTCTTGTCAGAAAGGACTCCAGATTCGAAGTTTGCAACGACGTGGTGGTAAGAAGAAATATTGAAAATAGAATTGTAAAATGATCAATTAAATATTTTATAATCGAAAACTAATATCTTAATTCTTGAATTTGTTTATCTTGTAATTAGAATTGTAATTTTCAACCGAGAAAGCTTAATTGAGAATTAAAATATATTAAAATTCCGAATTAAATTTTAATTATATTATAAAAATAAAATTAAACGAACGAGCTCTGCTGATTACGAATTAAAGAGAGAGATGAAAAGACTAATCAAAGCCTTTACACGAATCGCATAGTACAGTAAAATAGATGATATTAATTAAATTGCTTAATTATATAAAAATTTTAATTAATTGCTCACAACCCCAATCGGAAAATATCTCACATAGTATTCGACTGAATTCGTCACATCGTGTCTTTGTTGTTGTATCATATAGCTGGGCTTGGTATGTTTTCGCGCCAAAGGCACCGATAAATTGAATCAGAAATTGCTAAGCGCCATTAACGATTCCGGGAAATTACACATGGTCCCGGCGCAAGTTAATCAACGCTACACGATACGTTTCGCGCTCGCTGCGCCTAACGCATGCGGTGAGGATATCGGTAAGTTATTTGTACATGTGTATTTTACATCATAGAATCCACTTCCCTCAGTTCCCGTTAGAAATTTCAGCAACAGTATATTTCGCTTTCTGAATTTATCGAACGAAATTTTTCCTTCCTCCGAGAAAAATGTTATCATATAATTAAATTCTACGGACTTCCTTGGGGAAATGCGTCATCTCGAATTAACACACTGATATTTAAGATGTTGCATGGAGCATTATAACGGATTACCTAGCCGAAATGTTGGAATCTAAAGTGAGTTGAAACATTATTTTGACACACTGTAAGAGAAGAATTTCCGTCCGCCGTGTGTCAAAGGTTTATTAAACCTACGCCTCGTAGGACGTGATGGACGAGCTAGCGGACATCCGCGAGAAGAAGAGGAAAGCCACTCTGGAGCAACGAAGATCTTTCTTCGTGCGCATGGTGTCTGATCCTGCGATTCAGCCAGGCTTCACAAAAACCCCGAACAGAGCTGGATCCAAGCTCGACACGCAGACAACGATCAGCGGTATCGGATCGAATACTCAGACCGGAACGTAAGTTGATTACGTTGGTTCGTTAAACCACCCGTGCACGTCAGGAAATAATTGAATGAAACTTTCCTTATCGTTCGGATTACTCTTTATCTTTATCTTTCCTTATCTTCTTCCAGGCGGTCCTGGATATCCTGGCCGCTTGAGTACCTGATGCAGGCAAAGGAAGCTGCTGATAGAAGCGAGGTGTCGCTTAGGTACTCTCTTATTTCCTTATAATTAATCCGTCCATTTTTAGAGTATTAAGTTACGTTTATTTGCGGATTTTATTCCGCGACGCGCGATTTTTTCATTTCGAACGGAGATCGTCTAACGTCGGGCTGAGTTCCCCTTGCAAGAAATGCGTTCGAAGAGCGTTCAGAAAGTTAGTTGAAGTTTCAAAGAGTTTTCATAAAAAAAAGGGGACGTAAAAAGAGCTTTCTCTCACATGTTAAAATAAATTAAAAAGTAACGTCGCACAAATTTAGCGTCACGCGCTTACGACACGGCATTATGGCGTGAACGGCGGCATCGTATGTGTGATGTCACACACTTCCGGTGTCGATATCATGGTCACCACTATTATGCGTAAGTACAAATAGTGCACACTCCTTTTACCTTATCGCCGTCATTACACCGATCGCTCCTACAACGACGTTCGATTCTACTGAATGTGCGAGTTCGTTTCAGAATAAAGTCCGCAGCGAAGGAAACTCGAAACGTTCCGATATCTGTATGCCTATTCTGTAACCTTCTAACTATAATAACGCTGTCATTATGCGTCATTGCGCAAGTATAATATAATACACAATAGCCGCGCAAACGCTTGACGATAGAAGGCGATATCGTCGTTTAAAATTACATAATAGGTTTACTGAAACTTTCGCATGCGATTAACTTTTCTCTCGTTATCCTTACTCGTCATTTTTACTCGTTCTTCGCCATATATGTTCTATCTTTTCTTTTTGTCATCTATTTCCTTTCGCTATCCGTCGCTTTGCCAATTTTTTCCCCGTCAATCCTCGCGTTGTGCTCTCTATTTCTCGTATAATTTTGTACTCGTAAAATTCTCTCCCTTCTTTTCTGTCTCGTGTAATATTCTGAAAGAGACATTTTTCTGTCCTGGGAATATACAGCGGCCCTTACTTTGCCCTGTTCGATACTTTCGTCTTTACATTGTTCATTCCTACTTCTACATTTTCGTCTCTACATTATTCTCCGAATTTTTTACTCAGGTTTCGCCACTTGGACGCTATGGTTCGCTTGAAGGCTAGCGGCACCGGAAGTCGTCGTGGTAGCAGCAACGGATGCAGCCCTGATCCGTCCCCGTCCGCCTCGCCTTCGCGTGGCAGGTCACCCAACGGCAGGACGTAATCGTGTTGCTCGCACAACGATCCTTCTTTATTCGCGCGATCTTTGCGAGGAGTCCTCCAGATCACGACGGACGGCTCCTCGTGCTCTCCGAGAAACTCGGACGTGTTCCGAGGAGGCAGATAGAGGAGAAACCTAACTAGCTATCACTTCACACCGGGAACCGATAACTGCCGACGATCTCGATATCAAGACCCATCTTAGACGAGCTATTAGTGCGAACCAGCATCAAAGAGCTTGTTTCCAGACCGCCGAGTCCTAATTGTTCAAAATTAAATATTCTGTATCGAAAAATTACGGAACAAACCTGACACAACAACAAATCCGTATTCCTCAAAGGTGATGATTATGAGTTAAGTTTCTCATAGCCTTGCAACATGCGGCTTACATTTTCAAAAATGTGGATTTAAGACAATTTCTTGCGTCTTTGCTAATGCAGGTTTGGTGGACAAGAGATAATCTGGAAAATAAAGGAAATCTTTTTAGTTCGGGACAAAATTCTATTTATAATTCTATATATCAGATTGTAGATACAATTAAAAAGAAAAAGTGTTACGAACGCTTTTGAGGGACAATGTTCCCAATTAGAAAGATAATTTAATCGCAATGACTTTATCAAAACATTTCGTCGTTTTATCGTTAAATGTTAAAATACGTATATCCAAAAGCACCAAATAATTGGTGTTGAAATTATTACTGTTAAACGTTTGACAAAAAATAAATTTATCGTTATTTAATAATACTTTGTATAACGTGTAACTACGTAACACGAGATATTAAATTACACAGGATTTTGTCCTGTATTTCGTCTTGTAAATTTAGAGTTGTAGATTGTCTAAAATGGGTTTTTAACAGGGAGGATAAACTCCGCACAAAATTGCTCAGCGAAGGATATGATCGCGCCGTGGTTTCTTTTCACTCGATAAGAAATTAAATATACTTCAGCCTCGACCAACGTGTGTTATTTCTTTCAAAATTCCTGAGACTACAAAACCTTGCAAAACTTGGAAATGTCGTTTGAGTGATTTACGACGTCTTTTATGCGCCTTTTATGGCATCTCTTCAAATGTTCATTTACGTTTTCCGGACGATCTTCCGGTTGTTCTTCGATTCCGGCGAAATGTTCCAAAATGCGCGAAAAAAGAAGGAGAACCTCGAAATAAAATGAAATATAACATAGATACGTGTAATAGATATGGACAGAAAAGTATAGTGAAATATACACTATAACGTATGCAGAGAAATTGCTGGAAAAAATTGATTACTAGTTTGAAGAGTTTAGGAAAGAGACCCAATTTACACTTATTTACTGTGCCGCGCCGATTTCGCGTGACTTTCCATCCAGGTCGTGTAGGGGGAAGGCATGTTACCGCATTTATTATTATAATACGCTAACATATACGTTAACACGACGAATATCTTTTATAATATTTCAATACTGTAAAATTTATTATTATTAAGGACAACGAACGACGAATGTTGAAGTTCAAATCGTCACTTTGAGGATTATAATATTATTTTTAATTTGTTCTTATTACACTTTTCAGAGATAATTATGCGTGCAAATTTTTACTGATATGACTGGAGAAATGTAAGTAATCAAGTGACGAATATTTTACTATATGGAGTGTATAACAAAACAATAGTTATGAATAATCAAATGCGTTGTCTATAAATTAATAATTTGCATTTAGGAGTGCTAGATCTTCATATACCACCGTTAATGACCCATGACACGATAACTGTTCCAAAATTATGATATTCACGATATCAATATCCCAAATGATGAAGTATTTTATGATAATGTACTCTATTTACAACCGGAACGTCGAATGACCTGAATGAAAAGTTCAGCGTAAGTCATCAGTATCCCGAGCGGCACGGAGCGTCTTATCGTGTTTCAAAAACCCAGAGCTGTAAATTCGCAAAGTTCTATTTCACAAAACAAAAATTGAAAATCCACTCAAGAATTGGAAATCCGTTGAAATAAAATTGCCTCGAAATCAAGGGAAAGAATCTTATTATCTCTTTGCGCACCCCTGAAATTTCGTTCTAGGAAAGCTCGTCGTTCTCGTCACTCGTGGCTCTAAAACTGGAATCGGTGAACGACGGGGAAATCGGGGAAAAAAATCGATGTTGCGAATCCTCAATCGGACAATCCGGACGCGAAAAATCCAGACTCGATGAGGTAAGGGACATCAATGCAAGCGATTTCGCCTCTGTTAATTTCGTCGAGATCGCCATTAACGCGGGCGACACGCGCAAAAGCCTGCCGAAAGGCTCGCCGCGCGCGCGAACTCGGTTTAATTACTTCCCACACATTCACGAGCACCACCGATGCTCTACCGGGATCATCGGCGATACAATTCGAAAAACGCCGGATGCGAGCAGACCATGCGTGAAGGTGGCGACGAGAAAACTAGTGGTCGACGGCATTCCGCGTTCGCGCGTATGTATGTACGTTTACGTGTACCTACGTGTTGTGTACGTGCGCACCTATGCATGTGTGTGTGTATATATATGTTACGAAGATTGAGCGGTGACCTGTCACCGCTTCCACGGGGTGCTGTAAATGTAGGTGAAGAGTAAATGTCTATTTATAAAACAACAAGGTAGGAGAGCGCGCGGAACAAGGGTGCGGGGAGTCGGCGGTGTAGAATTTACCCCCTCGTGTGGTGGTGGCGCGGCGTGAACTGTATATGAGCGTTTATTCAAACAGCGACCCTGCTATAGCGATGCCAGTAGCCATTGACGATGTGCTTGTCGCACCGTCTCTCGAAATTTCCCATTGGAACTGACCGGCCGGCTGCATCGCTCGATGGAAGTTAGGCCTGCGCCAGGGAAAGGAGTCGATCGCGGGCTGATAATGGGTCACAATGACCATCGGCGAGGTCATTCGACTTCCGATTTATTTTTTTCGTCTCTTTCCTTCTCCTTGCGATTTTCCGGCCAGTGATAAGCATGCTTTTCATGATCAATGCGTCGCTGGTGTGCGGAAGGGATATCAATTTTCCACGATCCACAGAGGTGACCATTAATATCGTCGGACTTTGACTAGAATAAAATTCAATTAATTGTACCAATAGTAGAAATGTGAGTGAACAACAAATTTATCGGTCATTCGTCGCGTAATATTAACAGTGTGGTTTGGAGGACTTGATTAGAGAAACACGTTTGCGTCAGGATGAGACACGTGAAATTAATTATACTGGAGACACGAAACGTTCGAAGACGTTTGAGAAGATATTTGAATAATTTTTGAATAATTCACTTATAAATAATTTTTGAATAATTCACTTATAAATAATTAACTCACAGCAAATAATTTCATATATATGACGTACTTTAACGTTGACCGTTTACCAAGTGTCTCTTGTATTTGCACAGAGTCACCAGTGACTCCAACATGGAAAAAATGTAGGATTGATTCATATTTTTATCGTTTTTGTTTACCTTTGGAAGAAAAAAAGATCACACTAATATGCTAAAGACACATCGCACTAAGCAGGAGTGGAAAAATTATTAATTTTTCGCACTGCCTCTTTTCTTAGTTCTACAAGATTTTATCCTCAAATTATATTCGTACACACGCGCGATCTAATGTCGTGATATTCTTAATGCAAATTTCATGTTAATAAACTGAAGACGAAAAAACCAATAAGAGCCGACATAGAATGTAAATGTCAGTCTCGTGTCAATCTTCAAGTATGGGATGTCCTCCCAAGTTGCGGAATTCCACATGAGTGGTGAGTCCACAGCCGAACAATTCTTGTGCATCGTTTTTGTCGGGATATTTTCACCGAGCAGGGTAAGAATGACGACCGAAACATGTGGATAGATTCTGGAGGGGTCTGTCTTTGTTGTCCCCTTTCCCCTTTCGCTTTTTATTTCGCTTGCATTTATATTTGTTGAGTGACTCACTCATATTTATATTTCTCGAATGATTATTGAATCACGCAATTTACATCTTGCGTCGAGTTTCATCGGCTTCTTCCGTCTCCAGTTGATTTCTATACATCTTCAGAGTATCGATCATGTAATGTTTTCCTAGAGCGAAAACATAAAAAATGAAAATTCCAAATGTTTTCAAATTAAAACATCTACACTTTTTACGAGTTCACGCTAGAGGAGGAGATTCACGATCCCCTAGGGGTTGATCATCATGATCGATACTCAAAGCCTTAATAATAAATTATAAATTAATTAATTTATATTTCAACGTTAAAATAATTCCGAGTCGAGAGCTCGTCCGAATTATGCAATCGAGATCGGATTAAGCGGACGGTCACCGTGACAATGAAGAATGCGTTACCGGAAGACAGGGATCGGGGAATCACCTATTATGATCGATCTTCGTCAGGGAAATAAATTTCGTTGCGCTTTTCCTAACCCTCTCTCTCTCTCTCTCTCTCTTTATACACACACACACACACAAACATATATATATACTCTCTCTGTCTCTCTCCTCCACCTTAATTTTATCTGCGTGATAGCAGAGGCGTACGGAGCCGAAGCGCGCATAAAACTGACCGGCGCTTCGGCAGGTGCTACTAGTCTCTCGTCTGACGTGGCTCGCGGCAAATGTTCGATACGTGCGAGGGAAAATCGCGCGACATCCGAGCACGAAAGTACGACTGTACGCACATACGTGAGGGAAAAGTTCGCGCAGCCGACTGGGGTGCCGATTTTCCGCCAAAGTGGAGCGATTTTTTTCGAGCGATAGTGGAAAGGAAACGTGAGTGCACCACTGAGGCGGATCACCGTCAAGAGGCTCGTCGACGGCTTTTCGCTGCTTGCTCCTCTGCCTCCTCGATTCTTTCGAAGTCGCGTTTTGAATTGATTTACCGCCACGTTCGTTCGCGCGAGTCGATTCGGCACGAAGAGCCGATTCTCCATCGGAACAGGGTGATTTCCCGCGATTTTTACCGGCGAATTGCGTCGAAGCTCTTCGACGATCTCGTCAGTCACTCGTTTCGCCGGCCTGATTCTTCCAAAGTTGCGTCTATACGAAATCTGTATCGGCTTACACAAGAAAATTTGGCATAGAGCATTGATTTCTCCACCTCGGTGGAGAGATTTTACAAAAGGCAACAGGAAAGAAAACATCCCCGACGAGAACCGCTCTTCGAGCGGCGTTCGCGTTCTATCCGTTAATCATCCGTTCTTTGCTTCGAGTTTTTCAAAATCGCGCGTTAAAAATGGCATTACATCACGTGCGTGTAAGGTATTCAGGAAGTGATAGTAATACTGTAACGCCAACGCGATACCATAATTGCGGACTATAATTGCAACCTGAACGAGCGATTACTGCAATCTTCGGACTTAAATACACGAGCTTAAAAACATGCTCGCTATCGCGCGTCACACATGAGTGACGTACCGATCGCTCACAAGAGACCGACGTCGCGTATGTGTAACAACGGCGATATTTTTTCACACTCACACAATAATTGTCCGCGTAAACAAATCAGGTCTATTTTGCACTATCGTAAAGAAAACACAAAGTGGTCTGTGGCAGACGGTTTACTAAAATAACGACGGTAGCGAACGGCTAGCTCTTTCCGCGGTATTTAACTTCCCGTAAAGTGAAATATAAAGTAGACTTTTCATCAGCATTTTCGTTCATCTAAACTCACGTTCCGATTAATATTCGCGTAATCCGATACGCAATATTACCATGACAATGTCACTTTCTCGGTATCTTCGGGTATTATTATCAGACACGTACGCCGCAGATATTACGTATACTTTTGTTCGATGGAATTATTTTACCGCGAGGAATCCTCGCGAAATTCCAGATAGACGCTCCTTTGGCGAAGCGGGAAATTAATATAAGAAGATAACGAGGAGAGAGAGAAAGAGCGCGCGCACGCGCGAGTGAGAGAGAGAGAGAGAGAGAGAGAAAGAAACGTGTCGACGCGCCGATAGAAACGTTTGAAAAAAAAGTTACAATCGCGTGCGACCTGATACATGCGTATCCATATTTAATCCTCTTGGCGAAAATTGCATTCCAGCCAATAGTCTATCATGAACATCGATGAGTTCCGGGTGCGCGGCAAGGAGATGATCGAGTACATCTGCGAGTACATCCGCACGCTGGAAAGCAAGAGGGTGACGGCGAACGTGGATCCCGGCTACCTGAGACCCTTGCTGCCGAAGGAGGCACCCCTGAAGCCGGAATCATGGGACGCTATCATGAGGGACGTCGATGGCAAAATAATGCCCGGAGTGAGTGTTGCCGGCGTAGTGGCGATTATCGATCCCCCTCTCTCTCTCCATTGATTTCAACCCCCCTTTTCGATATAAATAATGTTCGCGTTTGTGAAAGGGAGAGAGAGAGAGAGTGTGTGTGTGAGGGAGAAATAGAGAGAAACGAGACGAACGAGATGGGTGAAAACTCGTCGCTCTATTGTTTCTTCCGTCGACGTTTCAGAAAACGTCATCCACACGAGAACGAACGAGTGACTCTCGCGCGCGTTGTCCCTTCCCCGAAAGCCATTTTTCAGAGGCGCCCTTCGCGGGGGAGCTTGAGGAAAAGTTAAGGTCGGGCGTCGTGACGTAAAACGTATGTGATGCAACGCGTATTATGTAAAGCCTCCATGGGCAGTACGAGGATTTCCCTTCAATCAATATTTGACGGTACCTTGACTCCATATGTATGCGGTAATATGAGGGGCATTTTGTAAAAAAAAAAAGACTCAGAGCGTCGGTGATCCTTACTCAAAAAAGTCTCGCAAACACATCTTCGTATATATAAAATAAATAAAAACGTCAAATAGGAAAAGAGAAGTTTGTGTTACCAAAGGTGTTCTCTATTCTGCTCGATCGTGTCGGCATCAAGGCGAGAATTCGAATGATGGGGGGCGGTTTCGCGAGCGCGAATTGTCAAATACGCGGGACGGGAAACGCTTAAAAATAATTTCAGCCGTGCACGCTATATGCGGCGGCCGAGCGATCAGCCGGTTGAAAAATTGAAGGACATCGACAGCGTCACCGACAACGTACCCGATCTGCGTTTCCGACGGCGGCGGTTGCGGTGATAAACGCCGCTCGAGAAACGAGGCTCGTGGTGACTTTTTTACAAAACGACCTCGAAGTTCGTTCTTATAATCCTACGCGACGTTATCGCGCGGTGACAATAAAGTCAACAGTCGACACGCCGTCGTCGGCGATGTCGACGGTATTTCCGTCGCTTCAGAGGCCGCGTCGTTGTCTTTTCTCCGGCAAACAAATCAATTTCAGGCAACACGCAACAGAAGTAGGTTACACGCCGCTCGGTTTCATTCACGCGTGGGCGCCGCTTCTTTGCAGATCACTCACTGGCAGCATCCGCGATTCCACGCCTACTTCCCGTCGGGCAACTCGTTTCCTTCGATCTTGGGCGACCTGCTGTCGGACGCGATCGGCTGCATCGGCTTCTCGTGGGCGGGCAGCCCAGCCTGCACCGAGCTGGAGACCATCGTCTTAGACTGGTACGCTAAAGCGATCGACCTGCCGGCCGATTTCCTCTCGGAGCAGAAGACCTCCACCGGCGGCGGGGTGATCCAGGGCTCGGCGTCCGAGTGTATCCTGGTGACGATGTTGGCGGCGCGGCATCAAGCGATTAAGATGCTGAAGGAGCAGGAGCCGAACACGGAGGACTCCGCCTTCCTGCCGCGGCTGGTGGCCTACTGCTCCACGGAGTCGCACTCGTGCGTGGAGAAGGCGGCGATGATCAGCCTGGTGAAGCTGCGAGTGCTCGAGCCGGACGAGAAAGCGGCGTTGCGCGGCAAACGTCTCGAGTCGGCCATCAGGGAGGACGTGGCGAATGGCCTGGTGCCGTTCTACGTGTCCGCCACTTTGGGCACCACCGCCTCGTGCGCCTTCGACAATCTCGTGGAGATCGGCCCGGTGTGCAAACTCTACCCGAACATATGGCTGCACGTGGACGGCGCTTACGCCGGCAACGTGTTCATCTGCCCGGAGATGCGGCCGTTCATGGCCGGCATCGAGCACGCTGACTCCTTCAACACGAATCCCAACAAGTGGTTGTTGGTGAACTTCGACTGCTCTTGCCTGTGGGTGCGCAGTCGGGTGAAACTGACGTCGGCCTTGGTGGTGGATCCACTGTACCTTCAGCACGCGCGCTCAGGCGAATCGGTGGACTATCGTCATTGGGGCATCCCACTCAGCAGACGCTTCCGAGCGCTGAAGCTCTGGTTCGTGCTGCGCTCGTACGGCATCAGCGGTCTCCAGAAGTACATCCGGAATCATATAAGACTGGCGAAGCGATTCGAGGCGCAGATGAAGAAGGACCGGCGGTTCGAGATCGTCAACGACGTGCGGGTCGGCTTGGTGTGCTTCCGGCTGAAGGAGAGCGAGGAGATGAACCAGGAACTGTTGGCGAACGTCAACGCCAGCGGCAGGCTGCACATGATACCGGCCCGCGTCATGGGCAAGTACATCATCCGCTTCTGCGTGACGAAGGAAGACGCGAACGAGGAGGACATCGACTACGCGATCAGCGTGATCGAGGAGCACGCCACAGAGGTGATGTTGGCGCACTACGAGGGTACGGATGAGGAGTACAGGTCCAAAGGACCCAAGAGCCCCGCCGCCTTGGACAAGAAGCTCGTCCGGAAGTTCAGCTTCACCAGGAGCGTCACGAGAGACGCCTACAAGAGGTCCATTTCCAAGTCCAGCCTGCACGACGGCGCGACGCCCATCATGGTCGTCGACGACAACTCGCAGGTGGATGCTATCGAAGACGATCATTTCCGCAACAGCAGGTAGTCCGGTCTTCTTGGTCTGAGCGAATTAGTCGCAAGTGTGTTTAAGGCCCGTATTAATAGTTATTACTTAAAACGTGATTCAAATGAAACACGTCGGATTTGAATTTCGCAATAGTCATTGCTTGACCCACGTGAGATAGTCCGATCAAATCTAAAGTTAAATCTCAGTTAAATTTTACAATGCACGTGACATTCTTTTTATCATTGCGACTCAACTGAAGAATTCAGGTATAACTTTGAATTCGAATCGTGAGTACCTCACGCGAAACAAGTTTCATGTAACGACTATTAATACGAGCCTAAGACTCACTTTGCGATTAAAAACGCTATAATATGATTTCGTGAATTTTTCTTTTCTCTTCTCTCATTTCTGTCTTTTAGATCGTCATATTATTTCCCTTTACTTCCTGACAGGACAAAGAGATTTGAATAATGGGGCTTTCTTGTCTGGAATTCCGAGGGACTTGAAAAAAATTTAACGTTTAGCGATAATAATGATAATGACGTTAATTACTGTTTCAGGTCGTGACGATGTCGATGACGGTCTCCAGCGCCGACTCGGGACGAGGTAGATGATAATAAAAAGGGCCCTCGGTATACGGCCGTGTGATTTGAAAACATTAACGGCCCGCCGTAGCCGATTTACCGGTTCCCGAAGTCGCGTTTGTCGATAAATGACTATTCACCGGCGACTATTCGCGTCGCCACGTAAATATTTGGCCGAGTCGTTCGGATTGCTATTCGAGCCGATCGCTCGAGGACGTATGCTCTCCCTCGAACACGAGTGATTCTTCGTCGCGACAGACAGTGTCGATGATGCATTTCGATATTGAGCTAAGTTTTCTGATAAAGCGTATCAGAGATCGTAAGATTCTCGAGTTCATTTCTTAGACGATCCAGAACTCGCGACAAAATTCGAGAGGCACAATTTTACGTATAAAATTTCACACGTCGCGATATAGTAAATCTCTCTTTAAATAAATAGATTGAATATAGAAAATACTTGCCGAATCAATATTATTTAATTATTTTATTAATAGAGGGAACACTTTTCGAAATAAAATTATATTTAAAATACTCAAACTAACATATAGAAATAATTAAAATAAATATATTAGAACTATATTCAGAAAATTTCAATTATGTCATGATTTCAGAGTCAGAATTATCACATGTTAAAGAAATATAAATACAAAATTATAATTTAAACTGTGACAATTAATATAATGTAAGATTTTTTCTCCATCCACATGATGCGTCTACAATTCAGCATGAATAAAATGATATCAATACAATTCTATCTCGAATCTTGTTCTGAGTTACGGATCGTTTAAAATGAACTTTAGAGACGACTGCGCACATAGTTAACGTAGTCGTGATTTATTTTGGTATATATATCTGTGTATAGAGGGACGATAGAGGAGAATTGATGTACATATGTAACACATGATAACGACTGCCGATGCACGCATGGATTCTAATAGTTTTGTATAAAACTTTAGTGAGTAATTTGTTAAGGTATATCGATTTCGATAAATGTAACGGTAATCTCGCATAGATTACAAGCGAACGACTATACCGATCCCAGCATGTGCCAAAATTGCATTTTCTCTAGTCCAGATGAGAATAATGAAGTCGAAACTATGAAAGGCAACACGTTAATAGTGTTGATGAATCGGTTATTTTACACTTAAGAGATACTTAATTTTTGTATATGTGATACAGAATTTTAATTCCAATCTCAGGTAGAGGAGAATTAATCGTCTAATAAAATGTAGCGTTTAATATCGAGTCGTTACCGATTAAAAATTAGCAAACTATAATAAACAATGTGATATCTAATAACCTATCATGAAATGATCATCCCTAAAATTGTGAGAGAATATTCTATGATTGAAGACAAATATACGATAGTCCTGGAGAGGAAAAAGATACTATATATAGTGAAATAAAATCATATTAGACTTTTCTGGATATCACACGTGGATATGATCATCGCATTAATTTGTACTTAACTGACCGGACAATTGCGTGCTCATGTACCAATTATCGTTCAACAATTGGCAATTGACATGTGACATCATATGAATTGATGGAGAAGTAGAAATCTCAACGTAAAGTAGATGTAGACACGATCCTTACGAGTAGAGATAAGTTCTTCCTGTAAAGATTACAACACACAGATATTCCTTTCGCATGTACGGGGGAAACGAATACATTTGCAAATTCAGAAATTTGTAGTTTCATAAATCTACAGTTCCCGCGACGATTCTAATACGAAGCATATAGGTATACGTGTACGTTTGTCATGCATAATTTATTCGGATTCGTAAAAGTCAATTCCGATTCATAGAGGTAATAATATATCGGAGCAGTCCCACTCACGAGCACATGATATATACATCGCGTAGAATTATTATAAAATATTTGTTTCATATGTACAGATGTTATAATAAAATTCAAGTTCGTAAGATAACCAGTATCCTTCTTATTTTTACCCTTTGACTTTAACTAACAAACATACAAGTTCCATAATAAAATTACTACATAATGATAAAAAATATGCATTAAGCCAGCAGAGATTATATACTATTTATAAATTAATATATATATGTGTGCTTACACACACATATAAATGTACTATTTTCTAAACATACTATGAATAAAATATTCTTTAATATATTTGACTTAATTTTTCTATGATTGTATGTTTCTCTGTGAGATGAAAACACTTTTGCTTCTTCAACATGAGATTTGTACATATATTTGATACACTAAGTTCCTTTTTTGTAGTTTTAACATCTCGATTTTTAATAAAAGTCATGCATACGTTATAAAAATTATATTTTTATTCTTTCCAAAAGAATTGTCAGCGATACCGCAATAAGTATATCTGAGAGTTTGTGCAAATCTAAATAAATACAGCATCATTACATTTGTCCACATTGAGATATCGTAACTGGTATCTTTGGTTTATTATTCGGTCCTGTAGGCACATTCTCCACTTTCCTCATAACAAGAAGACCATCAATCACTCTGCCGAAGACAACATGCTTGCCGTCCAAGAAATTGCATTTGGCACAAGTAATGAAGAACTGGCAGCCGTTGGTATCCTTGCCACTGTTGGCCATGGACAGCAGTCCAGGCGAGTCATGTTTCAGAGTGAAGTTTTCATCTGGAAACGTGCCTCCACTGTAGATACTCAACACGCCGGTGCCGTCGCCGTTCACAAAGTCGCCACCTTGTATCATGAAGTCCTTGATCACACGGTGGAAGATGGCACCTTTGAAGCCCAGTGGAACACCATCTTTCCTGTATTCTCCGGTACAGAATTGTCGGAAATTTTCCGATGTCTTCGGACAGACGTCCTCGAATAATTCAAAGATCATGCGGCCTATTTCTGTAGTTCCTACCGACACGTCGAAGAACACCACCGGGTTATTGGGGTTCCGCAGCTGAGCCTGAATCTGATTCCAGGTGGGCATGTTGTCGTCGTCCTTCCTCTCGGAATTGTCGTAATTGTCAAAGACTTACAGACAGTTTCGAGACGTTCAGCCTCTGGACGGATGCGTCAAACAGAAATAACCTTCTCCGATCGAATGTAAACGAACAACATAACCTCAACACATGCCAGCTGACGCGTTGTTTCAGGTTAGGTTACGCTTCTGTCTATAGCGCAACTTTTGCTCTTTTGCACAACGTGATCAACAATTGATGCTTATTGATAGTAAACGACGAGTCTCGTGCTGTTTTAAGCGATTCTGCGAGTGTATCTTAATGTAAACACACTGTTCGACAAGCTTTACAACACGTGTCCGACATGCAGTGTCGAGACTTCGTAAGATTTGAAGATTAACTTTTCACAATGGAACACAATTTTCGCGGTGATCGAAGAACGCCACTCGTGATATGTGCGGAAATATGAATACAGACTGATCACAAGAATAAGCCTATTGCCGTTCAGCGCGTTTTATAAACGCATATGTCAATATGGCGCCTATTTTGATTTACATACCTCGCTCAGCGAAAAGTACAGCCGATTTTGTATGCGAGGATCCTTGGCAGTCAGACGATGACACGACGCAGTTGTCCTCTCAAGCGTTCTCACGACGATCCGGAACGACGAATGAACACCGAGAGCTCTTCAATCTGGACAATACCAGCGGAAAATCGCTATAAACCGTGGTAAATCGAGAGCGTTACATTTCTCCCGGCGAGTCACGTGACTAATTGTTCTTTCAACGGTAAGTCTGTTCTTTATGGCTGCACTACATGCACCATCTGCACTTGAAATAAAGCAGATGCACATTTGACTCAATAGAGAGAAAGGTGAAAATAGATCGCAAGACAGTTCGAAAATGAAAGCAGTTGAGTAAAGAACAGCCTTGGCGTGTGGAACGCTACGTACTTTTTCCCTTTTTTTCTTCATGACTCTAAGGGCGGTATTCATAGTCAGATCTTAGAAGTATAAGCAGCCTTAAGTTCATCTTCAGACGCTTCGTAGCCAATGAGATGAGCCGTAGAGCATTTGAAGATACCAGCCTAAAAGTCGATCCTAAATCTAATCTATCCGACGCACGTTTTACCAGTTCAATGCAAATTATATATTAACGCGACACAAAATAAAAATATAAAACACCTAATTGGATTCATTTTATTTTCTCGTGACATATAAATTCATTCTACGAATGTTCAAATAGCGAATAAATTTATATATCTTGACATAAATTTATAATCTAATTAAATACATATTTTTGGAATTATATTTAACATATACTTTGTTTGAATATGTGAGAACAACATAAAACATTTAATTTATAATTATATATACATCTCTCTCTCTCTTTTTTGATTAAATAAATATGTAATAAGTAACATAATCATATACGTTTTATATATTTAATGAATATTTAAACTTATCTGTCTTATATATTATATTATTATATGATATGCAGTCGTGAATGGAAAGTTTGCAACACTTTTTTCTTTTCACAATTAATTTCATACCCAATAAAAATATCTCCTGAAAATAACTAAAAAACACATTCTCCTATTGGATTGGATGCTTCGCAACTTATCCAAAAAAAGGGTTGCAACCCTTTTGTTCACAAAAAACCTTACTCTATATTGCTGTATTTCTATTATCCACTTTCTTCCCATTTCTAAAAATCAGTTTTAAATACTTCAATGTAATACAGACTAACTGAAAATGTTTCTAGCTGATGAATCTCATACAATTTAATCTACGCAAACCTTACACCTGACACTTTTAAACATTAATTTTTTAGTGCAGAAAATATTAGCATTTCGTTCGCAATTGTTTGCTGCAACAATAATCTCATTTGCAGTTTCACAAAAAAAAAAAATCAGGAATTCAATCAAATTAGCGCTCGAATTAGATGTAAAAAAAAAAAATTACTAATACACGTCGATGCATAATCCAGGATAGCAAGTTCAGAAGGATCACGATTTAAGGTGACACTGGCAGTAAGAAATTATTGCCACTCATTGCTATTTTCGTTACTATTTTGGAATGTTACACGTTGTGGAACGATCAGCGTGCGGAGATTAAAAACCCAAAAAACGAAAAAAAAGTAGCAGAGTACAACAACGACGATTACACGTGAATCTTAATGTGTTCTTCTCATGGAATCCCTCCTCAGATTTCACAAGTGAACTTCTCGTTGCTCTCCCGCTGCTGGTACTCCATTACCTGAATAACTGCCGTCCGAGAAACTTTCCCCTGCAACAAGTGATTCTGTTTGTCCTGGTTGCATCAGCCAGGCTCTGTCGGCTCTTCCCATTCTTGAGCTGCTGCATCTAGTAAGCTATCATTGGCGTGTCTGCGTCGCTCATCTGTACGATTTGACTAGAGTAATCATTGTGGGTTCAGTATAGCCAACACCGGCAGCGACTCGCTCTGATTATATACCATGTTAAGAGCGTTCTGCTTGCCGGGGGAGACCTAAATCAGATGCATTGCCGTCATCTCTTCGTGCCTGACCGTCCCGACGAGCGCGCCGCCTGCGGACTTCTTTGCAGATACCATCGACTGCCTTGTATCACTTGTATAATATGGATCCTCCGGCAATCATATCTAGGAGAGTCCCGGCGATTCTCGACATGTGAAATATAGATGTTCTCGTCCTCCTTGATGTCCATCACGTGCAGATTGTCCGCGTTCTCCGTAATTAATAGCAGGACCTCATTCTGCTCGGTGTTCGAGACAAAATGCTCCAGTGCACCGTACTTGCTGTTTAACGTATTCACGCTACACAACTTGACGTTGACGAGGACGAAGGCTTCGACGAAGCGGCGGCGACGATGATGATGACGATGATGACGATGATAATGACGATGATGACGACGACGACGACGACTTCGATTCCTGGTGGCTGTTGTTGGTCTTCACCTTAACCTGATTTACCATCTGATCAGAATGTCTGACGATGTGCACGCAGAGTTCGTCGCGGTCTTCAATGAAAGCTTTGCACAGTGAACACTGATACGACAAACCATTCACCTCGGTTTTGACCGCGACATGCACCCAGCGCACATGTTCGCGCAATAGCACTTTCTGATTGAACGCCCGCGAGCACAACGGACACACGTACGGTTTCTCACCGGTGTGGATACGCTCGTGTTTCTTCAGAGTGCTCTGGTCTCGGAAGGACTTCCAGCAACCTTTGCACTTATGCGGACGCTCGCCCGTGTGCGTGAGCTCGTGATTTAGGTATCCCTGACGAGACGAGAAGCTTTTTAAACACTCGTTACATTGAAAACACGCCGGATTGGTTTTGTGTGTTTTGTCATGTTCCCAGAAATCTTGACGCGAAACGAAGCTCTTGCCGCACTTTAAGCAAGCGTGCGGCTTCTCCAGCAAATGTGCCGACAGTTTGTGCACGTTCAGCTCAGACTGCTTCTTGTATTGCATGCCGCACGTCTTGCACAAGTGTTGCTTTTTCCTGTGGATCCATTGATGGCATAACATCTTTTGCCTCGTCATGAACTGCTTGTTGCATTTGGAGCATTTATACTTCCCCCACTTGCTGTCCAAGCTTTGCTTCCTATTTTTCCGCATCTTTTTGACGCAGATAGTTCGGTGGGTCATGTGATAGTTGTCGTCTTCGAATTGTCTGTGACAATATTTACACTCAATCGGCATGTTTATAGTTTTGTCGCTGTGATGAATCTTAAGCGTGAAAGTATGGCCGATTTTGAATATGACTAACCTTATTCAGACGATAATAGAACGTAATTCTCCTATTAAAGCATTCTCACGACGATCAAGAACGACGAGTAAACATCAGGATTCAATCTAGGTATTGCCGGATGAACCATGCGTGCTCGCAACGCGCTCACCGTGTTTATTTCAGCAAGTCACGTGACCAACAGTGTTCTCAACGGCAAAACCTTTAAAGAATTTAACTGTTTGAAATTTTAATTACTTCCGCTCAAGGTTAAACTTATCGTCACTTCTATTGTCTTTTGGAATAATATATAAACCTAAAGAAACATACTGGTTGGTTGATCAACTTCCTTACTACTTAAGTCTAATGGCTTCCGCTCATAGGACGTAGCAACGCTTGTCGCGCGGCGGAAGTTCGCGCGGTAGCCAATCAACATGTCGTTTTTTGGTAAGAACTAGAAATTTATTAAAGGCGGAGTCCAATGAGAATTTAAGCTTCAATCCTTGAGAGTGAGAATTTAAGCCTTAATAAATTGACCAATGACAGTCGAATGCGAGGAGTATAATCGATTGTGATTGGCCAATTTCTTAAGATTGTAAAATAGTATATTTTTCTATTGTTGCTTCCGTAAATTATTAGCTTTAATACGATTAGGTATGACGCAACGGAAGGTACGTGAATGAATTAGAAATTTTATAAAATAAAATGTTTTATTACTTTTCATTGCACCTCGTGTTTTACAGTTTTAATGCCATTTGGATATATCTTATTTGGATATCTCTAAAGCGGGGTTTACAATGAGAATTTAAGGCGTAAGATTTAAGAAATTGACCAATCATAATTGACTTTTCTTCTATAGTTCGACTGTGATTGGTCAATTTCTTAAGATTTAAAATACCTATTATAGACTGACACTAATGACACTTTGCTTTTAAGGGTGCACAGGAGCCAGAGACAAATTCCAAATCGATTTTGGAGTCTCGTGCGATAAGAGTGCGAAACACTTTGTCTACATATTAAGTATATGTCCATATTTATGCGGTTATTAATGCATTGCACGTACGGACGCAAGAGCAGCACTTAGTGCAGTTAGGCTACACTTTTTACCATGTTTACACTCAACACTTCTTCTATTCACAGGATATTTCTTAACGAAATTCATTTTAACGTGTATCTTACGTTATTATGAAGAGAAGTATAGAGCCGGATTTTGCTGCTAGGCCTTTAAAAATTCATAATTAATGACATAAACCAGCGCTGCACTTTGTCTCTAGCACTCCTTTCAGTTCTTTATTTCAACTCTCTTCTCCAAAAAGTCGTCTTGCACCTCTCTGTGGATGATTCTTGATTACGAATATCACAAGTATATGACGATTCTCTTTGTAGTTTGCTCAGAATTCTGTAAAATATTAATGTTAATTCCGGAGCCTTCCGAAGAGGTCTCTATGATGGCTCCTGTACACATTCAATGCAAATTATATATTAATTATAGAGCAACACGAAATAAAAGTATAATGCACCTGATTGTAGATTCTTTTTATTTTTTTCGCGATATGTATGTAAATCTTTTCAACAAATGCCCGAATAGCGAATAAATTTATATGTCTTGATATAACTTTATAATCTATATATATATATATTTTTTTTTCTGGAATTATATTTAACATATACTTTGAATATGTGAAAATAAAGTGCAGTATTCTTTAATTCATTGTCCGACTGTGTGAAACAAACGTGAATGCAGTAGTACGATAATCAGTCCTCTTATCAATCACGATGAACCATACGTTGACAAATTAAACTTTCATTTGATGTTTTGAGATAACACGAAAAAGAGCACTCCTCTGATCACATGAATTGACAAATCGTCAAGTAATCTTGCTATATGATCGCCCACATGAGAAGAGAGAAACGAAAATACACGTTTCAAGTAACAATCATCAGCCTAATCAGATAATAAAAGACATACGTTGAATTATTCGAGTCATAATTAGCATCTCTCGCGGTTCAATAAATATATCTATCTTACATATTATATACATAATACCAAAATCTTGCTCTATACTGCTGTGTCTCTGCCCTCCTCCTTTCCATTTCTAAAAACTAGTCTACCTCAATGTAACACAGACTAGTTGAAAATGTTCCTAGCGTGTAGGTGAACCTCGTGCGATTTAACTTATGTGAACCTGGTACTTTAAACCGACTTTAAAAAAAAAAAAACCGAATCTTTGAATGCAGAAAATGTTAGCATCCCGTCTGTAGTTTGCTGTAACAATAATTTCGTTTGCACCTTCACCAAAGAGAAAAAGAATCAGGAGTTTAACAAAATGGCCGACATCCGACTTCGATGCAAACAAATTCACTAGTACACATAGATACAAAATACAAGGTGCCAAGTTTACACAGGACGCGACTTAAGGTCACTGGCAGTAAGGGATTATTGCATTAATTGTGCGTTACTTTCGTTACTGTTTACACATTCCGGAACAATTAGCGTGCGAAGTATCAAAAATCTGGACAGAGTGGCAGAGAGTGTGACAACGACGATTATATATGAATCTTAATGTGTTCTTTCAACGCGCTCTTCTCGTCGAATTCCTCCCCGCAGATTCCGCAGGTGAACTCCTCATCCTCGTCACTCTCCTGCTGCTGGTACTGCACGACCTGAATAACCGCCGTCTGAGACGCTTCCTCCTGCATCAAGCGATCCTGCTCGTCCTGATCGACGCGGCTCTTCCCGTCCTTGAGATGCTGCGTCTGGTGGCCCACCATTGTTAGATCGGCGTCGCTCACCTGTACGATTTGACTGGAGTAATCGGTGTGGCTCTGCGGGTTCGGTATCGCCAGCACCGGCAGCGACTCGTTTTGCTTCGATATTATGTTGAGGGTGTTTTGCTTGCCGGGAGAAGCCTGGATCAGATGCATCGTCGTCATCTCGCCGCGCCTGATCGTCTCGTCGGCGGCCACGACCGACTGCGTCGCGTCGCTGCACTCCTCCGACGCGGCGATCACGTCGAGGGGGTCCCGGTGATTCTGATCGACGTGCAGCACGTGGATATTCTCGTCCTCCTTGCCGTCCACGATGAAGCGTATGTTGCTGTGCTTGAACTCGGATATCGCGATGAAGCCGTCGGTACGTTTCTCCGCGGTCACCACGACGAAGGCGTTGTTCGGCTTGTCATTGATCACGTGCAGATCGTCCGGCTTGTCCACGTTCTCCGTGATCGACAGCAGCGCCTCGTTCTGTTCAGTCTTCGAGATGAAGTGCTCGAGCGCATCGTGCTTACCGCTGGGGGCGTTGATGCCGCACGAGGAGGTCGACGAGGACGAGGAGGAGGACTTGGACTTCGCCTTCTTCTTGGCCAACGACTTCGACTTCGGGTAGCCGTCGTTGTTCTTCGCTTTAGCCTCGGCTATCAACTGATCGGAATGCTTGACGATGTGCGCGCAGAGCTCGTCGCGGTCTTGGTTCAAGGCGCCGCACAGGGAACACTGATACGGCGGATCGCTCGCCTCGGTCTCGTTCTTGCCCGCGGCGTGCACCCAGCGCACGTGCTCGCGCAATACCACCTTCTGGTTGAACGCCCGCGAGCACAACGGGCACACGTGCGGCCTCTCGCCGGTGTGGATGCGCTCGTGTTTCCTCAGAGTGCCGCCATCCCGGAAAGACTTCCAGCAGTACTTGCAGCCGTACGGACGCTCGCCCGTGTGCGTGCGGTTGTGAATCAGGTATCCCTGACGGGAAGAAAAGGTTTTCAAGCACTTGTCGCATTGGAAGTGCGCCGGGCTGCCGACGTGAGTCCTGCCATGCTCCCAGAGACCCTGACGCGACACGAAGCTCTTGCCGCACTCCGAGCAAGTGTGCGGCGCGTCGCGGAGATGAGCCGACAGCCGATGTTCGTCCAATTCGGACTGCTTCTCGAACAGCACGCCGCACACCTCGCACGAGTGCGTCTTCTTCCTGTGGATCCACTGGTGGCGAAACATCTTCTGTTTCGTCGTGAATTTCTTCCCGCACTCGGAGCACGCGTGCTTGCTCCACTTGTTGTTGCTCACGCCCTGCTCCATGTTGTTCCGCATGATCTTCTTGGCGCAAGTGGTCTGGTGGGTCGCCAGGTGATTGCCGTCTTGGAACTGCTTGTCGCAATATTCGCACTCGATCGGCATGTTCCAGTTCTTGGCGGTGTGGATCTTCTCGTGGGAGGCTAACGCGGTCGCTCGTGAGAACGCGACCCCGCAGTGCTTGCACGTGTAATGCTGCGGCTGTTGTTGTTGCTGCTTGCCGCCGTTCTCCTCGATCTCCACGAAGTTCCTCCGGTTCTCGTTGTTGTACGAGAGCGCCTCAACCTTCACCACCCCGTCCTGGCCATCAAACGAGTTCAATGACAGGTTGTACTGCTGACCACCGACCGCATTGCCGATGCTGTTCTGCTCCGTGTACTCGAACTGCGTCACCTCGCCGTTGGACATCACCGTGAACTCCTGCAGCGCGTCCATCTTCTCCTGCTGATTCGACATCGTCGTGACCGTCGACTGCTCGCCCTGGAAATTGTACGACGACACCGGCCATTGTACCTGACACACGTCATAATTCTGTATGGAATGCACCGACGACACCTGGGAGGTATTCTGCGAATCCGACGCGTCCTCCGGCCACTTCCTGAACGTCTCTTGAACCGGTAAATTGCCGCTTTGCTGGATGGCGCGTCCCGCGATGTACGTGTGTATTTTCATGTGATTGGACAAGCTGGAGGGCCTCTGGAAGTCTGAGCCGCAGACCGTGCACTTGTGCGGCCGTTCGACCTGGTGCACCTGCTGCATGTGCGACTGCAAGCTGCTCTTAGAACGGAACAAGTTGCCGCATGTCCTGCATGCGTGAGGACGGTCCACCTGGTGGCAAACCATGTGGTTATTGAGGTCTATCTTCCTCTCGAATCTCTCACCGCAGGTTGTACAAGATAACTTGGATACAGTGCACGTAGACTGGTGCTTGGCCAACTCGTCCTGGTTGAAGAGATTTTTGCAGGTGGGACAGCTGACCTTCTTGTCCTCAAAGCAAGGATACATGCCACCCAACTGCCGCAGGGCCTCCACCGCCATCGACTCGTCATCGCCCGATGTGTACTGCTGCTGTTCTTCTTGCTTGATGTACATCGGATACACCACTTGATTGTCATCCTCTTCGTCGGACTGTTCCGCAAGTATCTCATTCTGCGGTTCCGCGATCTCGGCGTTGACATCGTTCACCGGCACATCCGTGAGATCTTCCTGAAGGACGCATTCGTCGACGCTAGGCTCGCATATCTCCTCGTGGGATATCATGTTCTCCTGTATGGCATCGTGCACATCAGCAAGGGGAAACGTCACGAACTGTTCACCCTCGTGGGTCTCCATTAGACTCGCCGCCCACTGGCGAAATTTCCAATCGACGAGACACGGACGGAGAATTCGGGGGAACGCTCACCCGATGTGATCACGATGCTGCAGACAACCTAGTCTAACCTCACGTCAAGTTGGGTCCTGTCATTGCTCGCGCGAAACAGACCGTCACGGGTTCCCGGGTCGTAGTTTGCTGTAAATGATCGAAAAACGTCGTGAATCGCTACTACATACGTCTCAACGATTACTACGCACTTTTCTTTGCACAGCCGTCGAAGAAGAAGCACCTTTCTTCGTTCTAATGGCACCAAGTTAAAGTATGGACACTCGTCCGACCGAAGTGCAGCCCTACGAACGCTCTTACGAAAGCGAAGTATCCGTCGCAGCCTGCGGAACCCTGTGCTATTTCAGCGGTGAATTCTTGAGGAAATTAGACGTAACTTACTGTAATTCCGGGAGTTACAATAGTACATTCGCACGAGCTGCAACGCTTCGATGCTGCGAGGTTATTCGCAAAGCAGTGCCCCGTATCGGGCACCGCATGAAGTTGCGCGCAACGAATAAGAATCGAATGAAGCTATCGACTTTTCAAAATATGCGAATTCGGTGTCCGCTCATTTGAAAACGCGCCGAAGTATCGACGCGTCTTCTTGAAATAATTAGTGGAAGATTGTGCGATCGTGCATCACCACCTGAATCTTGTCAAATTTCGTCCTTGTATTTCGTTTCTGAAATAAAAAGGCCGGTCGGCTACAGCTGCGTCTTGCTCACACATTTTTCGCATTTGAAATAGAATAGATATGTAGTTGGACTTCGGAGCAGAGAGAGAGAGAGAAAGTGTGTGTGTGTGTGTGTGTGTGTGGAAAGCATTCTGCTGAAATGCGGATGCCTTATCACGAAAAACGACAAGTTCACGCTGTTGGTTTATCTTTTTTAAGGTTATATCAGCGTGAGTACCGAATAAACAAAAAATTTTAAGAAAGTTGAAATAAATGAGCGAACTCGGTTAGTTTTATCAATCATAATCTGTGGCATCATGGAACAAAAGCAACCTACCGCAGGAAATCACAAGTTTCCGAATATTGCGAGGTGGCTGTTTCTAATATTCGGCTTCCCGATCGCGTTACCTTGGCTAGCGTATGATTTGTTGGATATTATGTGGCAAAAGCAAAAAAAGAAAGGCCTTAAAAACAAGGTAATATTTGTATTTCGTTATTTTTTTATTTATATACTGCATTATTCTATATCATTTGTGTTCATGTTATATATATATATCTGAGTACTTGTAGATATATATTTATTGTTCTATGAAAAATAGGTAGTGATGATAACTGGTGCTAGTTCCGGATTGGGAGAGGCTTTGGCTCATGTGTTTTATAAATGCGGGTGCAAACTTATCTTGACATCTCGGAGAGAAGAAGAGCTAATGAGAGTCAGAAACGATCTAATAAGCACTCATCAAGTAGGTTTCATTTGATACTTCAGCATATCGCATACAGTACAAGATATATTTACTATTTTTTTTCTTTAGATAGTTCAAGCTTATCCACCTATTATTTTATCGCTCGATCTAACTAAAATTAAGGATATAAAAGCTGAAGTTTTAAAAACTCTGTCAGTATATGACGGAATTGATATTCTTATAAACAATGCTGGTATTTCATATAGAGGAGCAGTTATCAGTACAGACATTGATATAGATATAAAGGTCATGATGTCAAATTATTTCTCTCAAATCTACTTGACCAAAAGTAAGCTTATGTCAATTAAGAAGTTATTAAGGTTATTGCTATAAAAACTGCTGTAATGCTGTATTATTAATTTGCAGTTATCTTGCCACTTATGATAAAACAAAATTCAGGCCATATAGTTGGTGTAAGTAGTGTACAAGGGAGAATTGCTATTCCATATAGGTAAATATTTGATTGTAAGTTTCATACTTCTTAAGATATATAATTATTTGTTAAATATCATGTTGATTTTCAGATCTGCATATGCTGCGTCCAAGTATTCAGTACAAGCTTGGTATGACAGTGCCAGAGCTGAACTCTGCGATAAAAATATTAAATTTACGATCGTCAATCCAGGATATATCAAGACACATCTTTCTATGAACGCTTTAACAGGAAATGGACAAGTTTACGGAAGTCAGTAATTAAAACATTTTTATGGAGAAAGCTGAACTAATATTATTATTTCCATATTATTTCCATTGTACACAAAATTATATGTAGTATCATCATCTTGTTACAGAAATGGATGAAACAATTGCAAACGGTTATGAACCAGAATATGTAGCTGAACGCATCTTAGAAGCAGTATTAAAACAGAAGGAGGAGGTTACCATAGCACCGTTTTCAGTCAAGTGTGCTATCATAATTAGAACTTTATTTCCTTCGCTTTTTTTTTGGCTCATGCAAAACCGTGCAAGAAAATTAGCAAAGAGTCAATGATGATTTCGCTTATTTAAAAGTTACTGTTTATAGAAATATTTTTACTTGTCTAGTTGTTATGGTTTTGATATTTTTTCTTTAAAATATACTTTCTTAAGAAGTTCTTAATATAACAGTAAATATTTTATTATAATTTATTATATAAATATTTTATTATAATTTATAATAAAATATTTATTTATATTAATAATATAAGTATAATTTATAAATATCGATAGATAATAAGAATAAAGCGTTTATGTGAATGTGAATAATTAATTTGGATGTCTAGATATTTTTACGTTTTTACGTATAATAAGATATATCAGATAAATGAAACAGATACACTATTCAAAAGTAAATTTTATTTTTGTCGTAGCCATTCTCTGACTAGTGGAATATCTTTACATTATGTACATATTATTACTATGAAACCATAATCGGTACTGACATTGAAATGTTCATGTAACAAGCGTGCTATCCATCTCTTGATATGGGCTTCACGGAAATTCCATTATTTCAAATTCCAATAGCAGTCTCACTTGTATGTACAGTGATTTAATCATTCTCCATATAATATCACTCTTGTAACATCGAATCACTAAAATTCGCAGACTATTAAAAGATGGAGACATACCAAATGTATATTGTTCAAATAAAAATATTGTGTATGCTTTTTCAAGTAATGGATGGCACATCGAATTACGGTCCGCTATATTGTTAGATTGTTTTTTTTCTTTTTTTTTCTATTTACTTAAGTAGTACGCGAACTTACTTAAAACGCAACGATTTTGAAACGATCTTTAAAGAAAGATCTAACATAGTAATAAAATCCGACATCTATTGTCATGACAGAACTAATCATACTCTTTGCCCTAGTGTAACTCGCAAGTTCAACTTTTATCGATGGTCTTAATTATGACATTCAGAGATTTCAAGATCCTGTTCACATTGATACACTCATATGGCTTCTGTAAGTCGTTCTTATCAATCACTCGAAAAAATATTATTGAACGAAATTATGCGCGGTCTTGAACTTCATATAGATAATTACATGCTTTCATAAATCATTACATAATATTTGGTACAATCTGTTCTGGTATACATAACGTTCGATGCGTATTACACATAAACGTTTTATACATATACGTTAATTTTTTTGCGGTATAATGAGAAGAAGTTGAAATTGAATCTGAAATTAAATGCGTGTAATTTTCGTTCTAACGGCAACAGAAAGCCTTATTCTTGTGCAGCGAACTCTTCTAACATAGAGTAATGTTAATATATCCGAAAAAAAGATGAGATTTTCAATATGTAGAAATGTATTCGCGTATTCGTATATAAAATAGGACTTCTCAATGTATCGAACGGAACCCAAAATGGATTGATCTTACAGCTCGGTTTTTCAAACTATTTGTGCTATGCTCATTATGACGTGATGTTACGTACTTGGCGTCACGACACTACCATGTCGTTTGATAACGATGTAACGATAATACGTTGGAATATTTATCGTTCATCATCCTAAATTTGATGTAACTCCTAGAGCAAGATTCGGAACTATTTACATTTTTCATTATTTGAGCTCTTTCATCAATAACACGTGTAAACAAGAGTATATTCGGTTCACACGCTGCGAGTGTCTTTACGCCATGTGAAGAGAGTTCACGTACTGAGAGATGTGCGAGATTGCACGTTTTATTATCATTAAACAATTACAGGAATGTTTGCGACATTAATTTCCATTTGATAATACTAATGCAATCGAAAAAAAAATCTCCCGTATATCGTGATGGTGGAGAAGAACAAATACCTTATTCTACGTCCACCGCGTCGATAAAATAATCAGGGCCTAAAGTTACATTTGAGCCATTTCCATGGTCAATACGTCCCCGATGTCGTTTTATATACTTTTAACACAAATTATTCCATTGGGTGAGAAAATCTAGGCGAAATACTCCACCATATGTCGTATGTACTGTGTGTATACACTTCTACCTATTTTTTTTTTCTTTATTTACAATCTAAAAATACATAACGCTAATCCATCCTTTCAGCTGTACCGTCGCAAAAGTTTCACAATTCTAAGAACACTTATACCAATATTTCTATTTTCCATCATTGTAGCGAGATTGCGTGTACGAATACGGTCTTTGCAACTTTGTGATACGGTTTATATCTTTGACAAATTTTGTCGAGACAAAGATCGAATGTAAAATCTTAGGGAAGTGGTGTACCAAATATAAAGACTCTGGTAAAATCTGTTTTTTTTTACTTGCATTTATGAAATCACATAATCAGCATTCACCTGTGAGGTAGCATCAGAAAGTAATATAAATCAATCGTCAAAATATGGGAATTATCTTATGTCATAATTACACGATACGACATTGGAAACGAGCCTGCATCCTTCCTCAATCAAAAGATTCCATAGGCCTACTATGCTATGAAACAACTTGACATATCATGTGGCCTACCTCACTGCTTCTCTCTGGCTTAAGTCAAAGCCGACGTCGGCGATAATTCTTTCACTTAAATGCCTGATAAAATCTCCAGGCGGTAACGCCAAATGCTGCCAGTGTAATAGTCGTGTGAAGGATTCGTCTCCTCGTATCATCTTTTCTTACAAGAAACGTCGGCGACGACGGACCTAGAACAGCTAATAGTTCTACATGTGGTAGTTTGCTGGTGTCGGTCTCTACTTGATATTGGCAACAAGGATCGAATTGCCATGAGACTGTGTATAAACCGCAGGTTATAATTGATGTGAAACCTAGTGGACCACAAATATATGGCCGATCGCCCCAGATTAAACCTGAAAAAGGAGTATTGCAAGATATTACCAATTGATGACATGTTTTAAGTAATAATACTGGAATTTGCGTGTCACTTGGATAATAAATTTAATAAAAATCTTGTTAAAATAAAGACTGCACGTGCAGTTTTGTTTGAGCTAACCTGTGACGATCGCAGCAAGACCTGATAAGGCAGCAGTCTTATGAAGACAATTGCCTACTGCTATCCATCTGGAGGTTTCGTCACCTAATTTCGATGGTTCGATTACAATTAAATTGCATTCTGATTCTAGAGCTCGCTCTAACTCGTATTCGAATGTCTCATGAGCATTCTCACTGTCGTATACCTCCCGAATAATGGCAACATTAGAGGATTCATCTCTGGAAAAAGACAAAGAGATAATACACTAAGGCTATTTGTTTTATATGAATACTGTTCAATCTCCGAGGATATTAAAACTCTCGATAATATCTAATATCAACGTGTAAATGTAATCGCAAAGTTTATGTAATTCATGTCACACCCAAGGTTATTATCTACAATTGCAAAATTTCCTGAATGAAAGAGATCTAAATCCACCTTGTGTGTGGCAATGTTAGCTTTATTCCCGATTGTCAGCTGAGAAAATGTACGATTGAAGAATTATTATGCACACACGTCGACCTTTCCATGGTAAACAACAGCGGAAATCGAGACTCCTTCCGGGATATCTCATTCTTTTGTGTTATGTAAGACATTGATTACAAAGAGCTGGTCAATGCAAGCTTTGTTTTGAACGCATACGTACGTTTCGCGTAAAACCGGCGAGATTTCAGACGATGCAGCGGGGTTTTGCAACGGCATGGCCAATTAAATATCACAACAATACGGAGAGAGAGAGAGAGAGAGAGGAAGAGAGAGAGAGAGAGAGAGAGAGAAGTGTGTGTTAATGGTTGTGAAAAGAACGGCAGTGAAAGTAACAGTAACCGATACGAGCCGCTAACACGCCGCTCAGCGAGCCGTCCTGATCGAGAATACCGTATTTCCCGATCGTGAGATCATCCCACGAGCGTCGCTTTGAAACCTGAACATTTATTACTCGCTGAAATATTCATGGTCGGACGAGCGCGACGGCGACTGTTGCGTGAGATTAATCCGAAGTACGCGGCAGCGCCGCGTTTTGAGGTTAATTCCACTTCGGCGAGGACGGGGATCGCGTCGAAACGACGCGTCCTGGCGACATTGTCGTCGCAGGGAAGCGCCGGATCTCGCGCGTGAAGCAGAGAATAATTCGACCTACGAACCTGTCACCAGCTTCATCTACCATCTTCACCGTCGATCCCGCAGATACTGAAACGACGGTCTAAACGGACCGGAAGAAAAAGCATGACTCGTCGAACCGGACGTAAAAATCAGCTGATACATACGCGCGCGCTCGGCAGCGCTGCTCGTCGCCAACGTGACTCGAGTAGTGAATTATTCAGTTAATGGTGGCTCGAAGTTCGAATTCCTGTCTGTGCGCGTTTTCGGCTTGCCAAAAGTGAGTTCCGTGATCGTGAATCGACACTGAGAACGCCGAAAATGAGTTCCGCGCTTTTCTCTTACGACCAGATTCACAGGCTACGTTCCGATATTCCTTGCTAGTATTGAAAATTTATAAGCCCATATTCTGGATTCTCTCTATCGATAAGAGTACCTTAAATATGGCTTCTCAGCCGATCAAATAGTTTCTAAGCAACTTTTAGAGGCACTTTTATCAGTAAAAGAATTCCGAATACAGGCCACAGTATACCTAGCATAAACTGTAGATTTGTAGTATTGACGGTGAATTTTGGAACGCAGCCATAAAGTAGTGGCCGGAAAGCGGATACCTCGCGAAACAGGCTGTCGAGAATGTCGCACGTTTGCCAGTTACGCAGTAGTTCGAGATTCAATTCGCTCCCATTTCGACATAAGTCGCGCAATAAATTCTCGTCGGGAATGCAAAGTGACGCGTCGGATCTCGTATCGCTGCGTTCTCTGTTTCCACTCGTTGGAGAGAAAACCGGTAAGTCAATAAAGCGGAATGTGACGACGGATAACGCATCTGTGACTCTTGCACAGCCAATCATATTTTGCAAATTTGCATGAAATACAAAGCGACTGATTATCGGGAATATAGAATATAAAATAAAAGGCACAAATAATCGAGGTAAAAATCATGTGTAAGATGCGGAGGTGTTTACATGTAGTTGGGTGCGTGAAGTTATCGAAACGTCCGTTGGATGGCAGCACTAACTCATCGTGACGCGCGCGCGATATCGTTCTTACAATTTGAGTGCGAAAGGTAAAATGGCGGAACAAGGAGAGTCTATAAACTTATTTCGATCCTGCTGGGCCTGAATCTTCTGGTATCGCATCTGCCTTCATTCGAAACTACCTTCACGAAGCCCGTCATATTTGAGATAGAAAATGATTCTCCAAAATAACAGTTTCACATCTCAACTCGATGAGCCAAGATGAAAACGGCTTTTCAATTCGGTGAGTTAAGACGAAGATGGCTCCTCGGGAAAACTAAGGTTTTACTCCAATTAAGCTAATAGACGACTTAGAATTATTGTCATTCAAGTATTACTTATTTTATCTTGTTAACATAGGCGGAGATTATTAACTTTTCGACTACTATTGAACGACAAGTTACAGAATTAGGAACTGGTGTTGGCAATTCTAATTATTATTATTCATCGATTAGCTTAATCAGAGTTTAGCGAAAATCATTCTATGACGACGGCTTCTCAGGCCGGATAATAATAAACCGGGTTTCAAGCAAGTTCAATAATTCGGATACTCTAATACGCGAACTGCACATTATTGAATCATCGAAGGTACATCGCGACCATTTTGACAATCGGGGGTAAAAATCAAACTTGCAACAGCATGTTACAATCAAAATCGTAACGGCAAACGAGCATAGGCTTGTTCGCTTCAACTGCACTCTCCTGCACTTTCTATTTCTTGAATAAAATAACGCTCGAATGACCAATGGACGCGGTAGATACATAGCTCCTGTACAAAAAGAGAAGACACACGAACAGCGCATAAGAAGTGCAAACTGTGAGACAGACAGACCACCTCTTCCCCAGGGAGTGAATAAATTCCCGCGTTTATTTCTGAATTTCAGAGATCGGCCGAAAGTTCCGGCGAGAAATAGGCGCCGTAGCTTCACGTGCGCTCGGGGCGACTCGGTCGGTTCCGTCGCGCGGCGCACTACTTGGCGCGCGCGTATGGGCTCGCCGACGCGTGGCGCGGTCGGCCGGGCGAGAGCGAGCGCTGCCCGGCGGCGCGCAGATAGAGTCAAACGAGGCCAGATCGCAGATGGACGTCCGCGCGAGAGTACTGTCGTGGGCAGCGCGACGCGCCGTGCCGTCGTAAGTGCGCCCGTCAATTGCGTACGTCGTACCGGTCTCGTCCCGGGATCACGCGTCCGCCACAGAGCGAACGAACGCACGCACGGTCCACCGTGTTTCAAATCGCGGCTGTTCGCGCGCGTGCGACACCGTGCGCGTCTCCGTCGGTGACAGCCGCGCGTTGACAGTAATGACAGCCCGACGTGTTGACAGTCGGCTACAGTGACAGTTGACGCGGAGAGATCCGGAGCGTTCTCTCCGTTATCGAGACATACGCGCTCGTCAATTTCGCGATCGGGTGCACACACAGGTGGGTGTGTGCGCGCGTGCGCCTGCTGCATGCGCGCGCGAGATCGGTGACATGTCGGCGAATCTCCGGTGAGGACGACGATCGACTTCCGTGTGACGCGGGGCCAGGGACGAGAGCAGAAGCTCGGCCGTCCGAGTGACGGCGTAAATCCACGTGCTCCACCTGGGCAGTGTCGGCAGCGGAGAGGCGAGGTCGTGGCCGAGTCGATCGAAGGAGGATACACGGGAGAGGAGGCGTGTGAGTGTACCTTACTACGTGTGTACGAACGCGAGAGAGCGCGCGCGCGCGTCGAGTGGGGCGAAGAAGCGAGTGTTTCGGCCGGGTTCGCGCACTGACAGTCGGCGAGGAGGAGGTGTGTACACCGCCGCGCGCACGGTTACGTGTACGCGCCCATCGTGCTCCGCTCCTTCGCTCGTGAATCACGATCGCAGTGCGTAACGCGCGTGCCGAAATTCCACGTCAAGGGGGAGAAAGAGAGAGAGAGTCGCAAGGTGATTTGAAGGTGAAGGACGGTAAACACACGACGAGCGTGTTCCTTCGAGGGAGCGAAGGGCGGTCATTTCTCGGAACCGCGAACATTCGGACGGTGGAATTCGGCGCGCGAACGTGTGTTTACGCTTCCGGCAAGGACGAGTTACGCGCACCCGGGCGGCGATTTTCGGAGTCGATTCGCGGACTCTGCGCCGTATGATCGACGAGTTCACGATCGCCGGCCGCGAAGCGGAGAGTGAAAGATAGAACAGCTGGCGGCGAATTTGTCGGGAGATTAGCGGCGCACGATCGACGTCAACGACCGGTTGTATTCGCGGTCCCGTAAGGAGGCCTCGGCTACCGCGGAGCCGCGTGCGTTATCAGCGCGCGATCGCCGACGATTCGTGGCGTTTCGTCTCACTCGCGATAGAGAGAGATCGCGTGTCTCAAGAGTGAACCGAATTGACGCACTCGAGGCGAATCCGAGCCGGCTGAATCTCTGTCCCGAGAAAAAGTCCGCGTCAACGACCGGTTCTGCTACGAGACTTCCGTCGAGAGACGGCCGGGATCATTCAGCGCGATCGTCCGCGGCTGTGCGAGAAAGAGTGACATTCGCGCGCGAGAAGGGAGAAAGACGGTTTTTCCGACGAGCCGCGCGAAATCGGAGTCGCCGCCGGTGAATCGCAGTGAGTGAGTGAGTAAGAGAGAGAGAGAGGGGGACAGAACGAGGAAGAAAGAAGACGATGCTGTCCGGCCGTCGCAGTTAATTCGCACGTGTCGCGATGTCGGGTGGCACGGCGGGCGTCCGTGGCGCCGAGTGCAGGAAGTTCGCGCCGAACATATTCAACAAGAGCAAGTGCAGCAGCTGCTTCAAGCAGAAGGAGGAGCACAGCGCGGAGGCTCTGGAATGCAACAGGGTGAGTTTTGCTTGATGGACTCCTTCTATCTTCTTTCTCCGCGTAACCCTCTTTCTCGCTCTTTTCGGCTCCTCCTCTTTCGCTACCGCGCTCTTGCTTTCTCCCCCTTCCTCCACCTCTCCCTCCTGTCCCCCTCCCCCGTTCCACACTCTTTCTCTTTCTTCTTACTCCATCTTCTTCTGACTTACGTAAGCGCGCACATGTAGTTATAGTTATCGAGTATCGGGACGACGCGAGAGGCTCGTACTTGTCAAAGTTAAGGACGAAGTCGAGACTTTTCGTCGAACTGTCGTAATTAAGCGGTGAGAAATGTTGTTAATGGACAGTCATTTTACACGATGCTTTGTCGATCGGAAAAGTTGCCGTTAAGTTTCGAAATGTTTCTTCTATCCGCAGGGAAGTTCTCTCATTTCGAAGAATAATAATAATTTTATTTTTTAATACTCGGCCTCGTCGAAGTGAAAATATTGATTGAGGAGGAAAGTAACAGAGGAGCCGTTTTGCGTTATCTAATATTAAATAAATGGTTACAGAGAAGTTTTATCATGGGAAATCCTTAGAAATTTTTATATCATTTATTCTTACGATGATCACGACACATCTCGTACTTTTCTGCTTTCGGTATTCCTCCGCGTTTGTCCGTGACATTGTAGTAACTGATTACTATTTACGTTCTCAAGGAGAATCAAGCCGATCTACACTATTCTATTTATCCGAGCATTTTCTCTCTCTCTCCCTCTTCTTACCTTACATTCCCTTTGCTATAATTCGATCTTTTGTTGGTTTATATATTTCATACTTTGTATTCACACATTTACATATGTCGTTTTATACCTCGGTATGCGTGTTCCTTAGTCCTCGGAGGGTTCACCTTAGGACAATAATAAACGCTTCTCTCTTTCTCTTTATTTCCCTCTCTCTCTCTCTCTCGTGCCCGAGCGTCTGACTCAACGGGTAACCGACGATCTCCTCGCTCGCCCTCGAATTCCTTCCTGAGATCGAGGACGAGCGGGGGAAGATACGGACGGAGGTCCCGATGTCAGGATGCGGACATTATGTAAGATCCGGCACGCGGCCGTCGTTTCGCGATCGCTCGCGAACGCGACGTTCCGTTTGTTTCCTCACGTTTTGTCCTTCAACCGGCGAACGCGACATCCGATCTTCCGGCTCGGTTGCACCGACAGTCGCGGTTCATTAACTTCACCCGGCGATCGCTCCGTACCTTTTCCAGATCGTAACCGGTGGCGTATAAAGTAAGGATGAGAGTTTATATTCGATCGACGTTATAGTGCGCCACGGGCAGGAACGGCGGCCGGGATGAGATAGTATTCTCGCGAGTCACGTTCAAATTATTACGTAATTTATGGGATTGTGGTCGTACGTAAAGTCTCGAACGAGCGAACGTTCCGGCAACTGAAAACGCGTAAAACGGCGGATAGCGATTTCGGACGAAGTGTAACGATCGCGAGGGACAACGACGCCGAGATTTCGCCCAACTTCGCGCGCGAGAGAGTTACGATATATTCGCCGTGCACGACCTATTAAATACGGTATACTAAGTACGATATATTATACGACGGATATTATCGTTTTGCAAATTACGCCGGGAGTCGTACCGCAGTTGCGTAGTTTACTACCCGCCACGTTGTTTTTGTTATCATTTTTTTTCCTCTCTCCCTCTTTTCGCAGCGACTTGATGTTTAGTCAGACTTCGACTTCGCGTTCGTACGCGCGAGTTTTCTCTCTCTTTCTTTTTTTTACGACGGATAATCACGCGCATGTAACGAGCGACAATTACTCGGCAGTTTAAGGGCACGTCGTGAGAGAGGCGAACGTATTATAAAATCCGGCGCGTTAAAAGAAATTGCCCGGGTGTAAAAGAAAATGTCGGAGCATCGTTTCCGTTGCATATAAATTTAGACACGTACGTATAAAAAGTCGACAACCCCGTTTGGCCGTTTTTTTTTTCATGCATCGTCAACGTAAAATCGTACGAGACGAAAGGGAAGCGTGTCGATGATGTGTTGGCTTTTATCTATCGTATGCTTGATAATATCGAGAAATTTCAAGCGAACTAACAGGGAATATACATTAAACTCTGCTGCAACATGCGTCAGAGAGAGATCTCGCTTCAAGAGAGGCTTAGATGTTTGATTTAACCGTAAGAGATAGAACAACAATGCTCGAACGGTGGTCTCGTTCCTTCAATTTGCGAGTGCATGCGAGATACCGCTGCGTCACGATCGTGGATATAAATATAGCTTCCGGTGCGTTCAGCGAGCATCAGAACGAGAATGGAATCTTTATAGTTCTGCTTTTTTCGTCTCGTACGATTTTTTTTTTTCGGCCGAGTCTTCGACGATGACTAAACGGGTCCGTAAAAAATCCCAAGGTGAGAGAAAGAAAGAGAGAGAGAGAGAGAGAGAGAGGAAGAGAAAGAGGAGAGAAAGAGAAGGAGGTTGGAGCGAGGATAAAAACGTTAAAAATCAATTCGCGCTACCGGGTGTATCGAGACGAGATGGAGGAAAATTCCATTTCGTGGTAGCGGAATCGTTGTCACTTCGTAAATGCGCATTTTTTTCCTGCACGTCACGCACCGTCTCTTTATACCCGGTCGCCACTTTACCGTTCGTTTTAATGCTTCATTAATTGTCGGGGTTAATTGTGCAATCCTTTAACCGAAGTTACAATGATACTGCGGATCGTCATTTACGCGAAATTATGTCCTTTACGATTTTATCCCTCCTCCGTCGACCCTGTCCGCTTAATATATCTTTGAGAAAATGTTATATATAGCTGTTTTTATACATTTCTCTCGTAAGAACTGATTTAACACGTATCTGCAAATTTTTACGACATGCATGTGAGTTCAATAAATTAATACAAATATCGGAACAGTGGAGAACTTTAAATTTGAAAGTTTTTACATTTTTTCCTCGCGAATTGATCAACATTCGAATTTTATCAATCTTGATACCGCTGCAAATATGGGGCGACTTGATGATGGTATGAAAAATATTGGAAATTGGATAATAATTATGCTCATTTTGTGCATTTTCATTACGATAAGTCATCATATATATATTTCCAAGATTACAAGTGAAGGTTATAACATAAAAAGATTAGATAATATAAAGAAGACAAGTTTAAAACTGAGAAATCGGTGACTGAATTCTCTCACGTCCTTGGTTGCGCTGCAAACTTCGCGAGAAATCGAAACAGTTTTTTTTTACCGTACCGATTAAATCCAATTTAACGGAAATTATTATTTCATCGATTTCAGGGGAATTATTATTTCATAGATTTTACGGGAATTATTATTTCACCGACTTCGCATTCTCGTCTGAACGGATCGTGATTCGGCGTATCTCGAGAACGGGACTGAACGATTCAAGCGATCGCCGGCTCCGAAATTCTGCTTGCGCGGGCGCTCGCCGATATACCGCGGCATCTTTTTCCCGGTCCTCACGCCGTTGCAAATTTCGGAATGTCGGCAGCCTTGCGACCTGTTCTCGGTGCATTCCAGCCGTCTTCCTCCAGCACCCCTACGAGAGGCCCCCTCCGAGAGTTGTTGGCCTGTCGGCTTTCGCATGGATGCGGTATCTCCGTATCGGTTTATTCTCCCCGTCTCGCTTCCACTCCCCTCGCCCTCGCGTCCGCCTGTCCCTCTCCGCCATCGTCCGCACGACCGCAAATAACGTATGCATACGCGACGCAATGTTTCTTTACCCGTTGGCCGTTGCATCGTTCTCCCGGTAAGCTTGCATTTCGGTAACCGCAGCGGAAAGAGAGAGAGAAAAGAAAGTCGACGTCCGCCTCGCGCAGAACGCTGAACGACGCTTAGATCGCTGCTCGGTATTCGATCGTTCGTCTCAGTAACACTCTGTTATTTTTCGGACGAGAGCGCGGCGTTAGACGCTCAATTTATCTCTCGGAAAGCCCGTAAAGGCCATGAAATAGTCCGTGATATTTTCTATATTTTGCGATGGGAAAAACAGAGAAAAATGAGAGGCGCGATTTTTAAATCGCCTTTCGATAGAAATATTTCCTACGCGAGCCTACGTGTAATCTCACTCGTACATCAGGATATTTAATTTCAACGTGCAGCATGCACAATCGTACCGCACGATAGGAAATATGATTAATAAAAGAAATCGGCTTATTACGCGCGTACGTTCGTTCTTGTTCTGACTAAAGGGACCCTCGGGCCATGCTCGCTCGTGACCGGCCATTATCGGCGTGCAGCTCGGTATTTTCAGAGTCCGATTACTTCTTCGTGAGCGCCTCGTAAGTGCCTTCGAGAAATAATTTCCTGGGGTGAGAGGGCTCTCTCTCTCTCTCTCCCTCTCTCTTTCCCCTCTCCCTCCCCCTTCCTTCTTTCTCTTGCGACGGTTGCTCGGGACGGACCTTAAATTTTGATCCGGTGAAACGATTTCAAGGCGCCTTACGGTACCTCGGGCTTCCTCCCGGCTTTCGCGAATATCTTCTTTTCCTATCAGTTTCCTGATACCTCTCAGACGGGAGACTCTTCTTTTTTCCTTCTTCGTATCCTCCTCTTGATCTCGTGATGTAACCTAAGAGAGAAGAAAAAGATTCGAATTAATTATAATAAAATTTCATTCATCTTTTGCGCGATAGAGACCCTTAAGCCGGTATTCACAGTCGGATCTTGTATTTAAGACCATCTTAAGTTCATCTTCCGATGCTTATACGGCTCATTTCAGTGAAGCATCTGAAGATGAACTTAAGACGGTCTTAAATATAAGATCTGACTGTGAATATCGGTCTTAATGCGACAAATCCATAAATCCAATCCTTGGTTGATTTCTTTTCCCTTAATTGCCATGTTTTCATCCGATCAGCTGTTCAGCATTGCGAAAGGGGAACATTATCTCGTTTGATGTGTAATTTCTTTTATTCGACCCGACTCTCACGTGCGACGGTAACTTTGCCTCCGGACGACGTTGTTTCGCGATGCCTGTGTTCGTGACCCGTGATCG